TAATAAACTTAATATTATCTATATTAATTTCGTACTTAATATTCTGCTTCGTTAGAAACTTAGTAGATAGTTCTTCTCGAAATACTATTTTAAATCTTTCGAGAATACGCCTAAAACGCCTATTCTTAGTTCTAGATATTAAAGAGATTACTTTATCGCTAGGACTCTATTCTCGTATAAGATATAAAATAAAAGTCTAGTCGAATATAAATAGTTTAGAAATTGTCTTCTAAGTCTTTCGAAAGCTAAGTAGATTTAATCTAGCTTCTTTAATATCTTCGTAATTAATAGTTTAAAAGAGTCGAAGAAGTATCGAAGTTAATTTTCTAGTATCGTTATATACTATTATATATAAGTAGCTAAAATCTTAAGAAGCGTTATATTTCTTTAGCTAGTCGAGTCTAAGAATAATATCGTATATATTCTAATCTAGAATACGAAGTATTATTCGAGCTCGAAAGTTATTAACGATTAGGCTCGTTATAATAGTCTAATTAGAGAGAGTCGTCTCGCTATTAGTAAGACGTACTTAAAGAGGTATACTCTAGATAATTTTATAGTTCTTATCTAGCTATTTAGTAACTCTTCTTAAGATATAGAAGATATTAGAGCTAGTATTAAGAAGAACCGTAACGAGATAAGAGTTATTATACTACTCTAGCGATCTACTAGTAATATTATATCTTTAGATATAGTCTAAGTTATAGTCGAAGACTTTAGTTATATTAATAGTAACGTCTATTAGATTATCGAAAAAGAGATTAGAATCTAATAGGCTCGTATCGATAGTCTTTAAAGAGTCTATAACTTCTTTATCGTCGCTAGATATTCTACTATCTAGCGACTCTTTTCTTTTTCTTAATAATCTTATTTTATAGACTTCTTCGAGTTAGAATAATCTCTCTTTTAATAACTAGCTTCTTTATAACCGAAGTAGAGACCGTTATCTTAATATTTCTAATAAAAGCTACTCGAGAATTCTCGTTCGTTACTATAACTATACGGAGTTTTAGTCTAGATAGTCGAGAAGAATTCTAGTTAAAGGTCGTTAAAGACTATCTTAATATTACTATTAGCGTCTTTTTAATCTAGTTAAGCGACTTAAGAGAAGTAAGAAGACTTTCTCGAGAAAAATCTTCTTAAGCGATCTCGAAAAGAGACTATTCGATACGTATTAGCTTATATCTTTTATTCGCTTTTATTCGCGAAAAGAGTATAGTCTCTATAGTTTTAGAAAAGTATAGTATCTAGAAGAAGTTCTATTCGATTTCGAATAGTCGTTCTAAACTCTCGTTTAAAAATAAATAGATACTCGATATCGCTAGAATAAGAATCGAAATATAGTCTAAAGATTTTAATCTTCTATTAAAATTCTTATATTATTTTTATTTACTTAAAAGAGTCGAACTCGTCTCGATATTACTTCTACGTCCTAACGTTATCGAACGCCGTCTAGAATACTTTCTTCTATATCTCTTAGTTTATTATAAATAGATCGGTTCTAAGACTATATTTTATATCTTAATATATAAAATTCTACTATACTAAGATATTATCTTTAAAATAGAAAGTTACTAGAATAATACGTTTATAGTTCGTTAAAGGACGTTTATTAACGACTTTTTTCGCGTTTAACTATCTTTCGATATAAATTAGCTAGATTTATATCGCGTCGTTATTTCGATAACTCTTATATTTTAGAGACTTTTCGAGCTCTATTTCGTTAATATCTTAGAATAAATCTAATAATAAATACTATTAACTAAATAAGAGTTTAGATATATTTATTTAATTTATAAATAAAAGGGTAATTCTCGATAGACTGTTCGTAAATATTAAAGCGAAGATTTCGAGAGTTTTATAGTATTATAGATAGTTAGCGAGAGTCGCTATAGTTCTTTCGAGATTTTCTAGACGATTCTCTTCTAGAAATCTATATATCTTCTATAGATTAACTCCTTTTATAGAGATATCGATTTCTAATACTACTATTACTAGAGTTAAGAGAATATTTATATAATATTTAGTATAAAAGAGCTTTCGAGTATAATTTACGAAATACGAGTAAGAAATAAATAGAAGATAATATATAATAGAAGAAAGATAAGTAATCTCGAGAAGAATATATTCTTTATAGAAGCTTCTATCTCGTCTAGCGAGAGCGCTTTATAACTAGCTCTCGATATTTAAGACTATTCCTAGCTAAATAGTACTTTAATCTCTCGAGAGATCTTATTATACGCCTTTCTTCTATTAATTTATTATTTTCTATCGTTTATAATAGTATAAGTAGATCTAGATAGAACTAGATAACTATCTAGTCTTTACTAGTATAGTTTAGATAAGATTCTAATAAAAAGTTCGTTTTAATAATAATATTTCTTTCTCTCTCGATATATTAAGCCTTTCGATAATATCGTTATTTATAATATCTAGATCGATAGAACGTAATTAAGAACGTTAAGATAGCTATCGCTACTATATCTTATATACGTTATTAGCTATCGTTTATAGCTAAAGATATCTAAGAGTAGCGAGACTAAAATTTTTAGAAGAGAAAGTTACTACTTACTACTATAATTTATCTTTCTTAATAAGAAATTTTTATCGTCTCTCGTCGTTTAAAGAGTACGACTCTCGAAAGTTTTCGCTACGAAATTAGAAGAGATTTATCGAGCGTAGAAGATAGACTTCGAGCTAGAAATTTTCCTTATCGGTTAGTTTCGCTAGATATTAAGACGACTTCGTTTATCTTTAATCGATTTCGTATAGAAGAGTATCGATCTCTTCGGCGATCGACTACGCTTCTCTTCTTTTTAAGAGAGTATAGAAGTCCTTACGAACTCTAGTTTAAGGTAAAGAACTATCTCGTCGCCGCTACTAAATATAATTTTACGAAGAACTTATTCTATTTTAACGGAGCCTAGGGCCTCATTAGACTATATACTTTCTAGGGATTGTACGATAGCGTACGACGCTAGTCGAGACCGAAAGACGGTCCTCGACGTCTTTATAATGCTTGGTATCTGAGGGTGCCCATTATGTCACACACGGTTGGAGTGAGTCGCACGTGAGCTCCGAGCAGGATGATATTCACTCGTCTTTCTTCCGCCAACTTGGTTGCCACTCTCACTCCACGACAGCAACCATTGGATTTGCCTTATTGTATATACATCAACATACCCAATACATCGCTATCCCGATCATCTCCTGTTGTAAAGGGACATCCTCAGCGCGGCGGTGCCGATACACAAATGCCGTTCCCGTTTGTGCTGTCCACCACATCGCGCGCCTCCTTTACCGACAGCCTGAGCTCGACTACTCACCCCTCGTTGCCGTCTACGGCTTCTTCTCGACGCTCAGTTCTTCGGGCGGCGTTGAAGAGCCACAAAAGGCTCTCGCCATCCGATCAGGCGACGAACCTGCCAGCGGTCGTCACTGCAATCCAGGATTACTTACGATATCTTTTGACCCTAGATCTTGCCCTCTGCGGAAAGCCCGTTTCTGGTGAAGATGTCGATGCCACGTTGATCAGAGAGCCTCAATTCGCATGGCGTCCGACTCTAGGCGCAGGCGGCATCCCAGGCCGGGAGAATGAGAGAATCAAGGGACAAGGAATCGACTACGAGATCTTCTTCGTCCATCACACGCTCGCCCTAGTGCAGAATTTACTCGCCAGACAGTCATTGCTGGGATTATATGCTTCGACCAGTCCAACGACAGAGCAGCGGACTGCGGCGATTCAAGCTGCAACCAAATATCTCAAAGTGGCCCATTCTCTCCACTCCTATCTCCTCCTCAGAGCGAAGTCTTCAACAGATGGGCCGCTTCACTTCCCACCAAGTGCTGTCGATGTTTCTTTGGAAGTTCAATCAGCCCTCCAGCATCTGACACACGCAGAATTCAATCTCCTATGTGTTCTGAAGGATGACCCATATCCCGCCTTGCTGATCCAGTCCCGCAACAAGGATGACAGAGACTGGATGATTCGGCCACCTACGATACCCAAAGTTCGCGCCCAGGTGCTGACCAGGCTTTGCATCGGAGCGGCGGAACATGCTTCGCTTGCCACGGTGGCACTCAAGTCTGACAGCTACAAGGTCTCCAAAGACCTGCTGGAGTACTGCGAAGGGATTCGAAGAGCTTCTCGCGCCAAAGCTTGCCGATTCCAGGCTCTGGATGAAGACATGGCCGGGTCGACGGGCAAGGCTATTGCGTGGCTAAGGGCGGCGAGGAATGGTCTCGGGCTTGAAGTGGGCAAAGATGGTGCCGCCAAGTCTTCCGGGCTGGGCAAGTTGAAAGCCTCGTGGACGGAGAGGAGAGAAGACAAAAAGATCGAAAAAGGCAGTGCAAGCTGGGGCATGGATGGCGGTAAACTAGAAGAAGCACGCATTGTCGAGTATCTGGACCAGAAGATGAACAAGGAAAACGACACGATGAACATACAACTCGTCCCCGAATGGAAGCCATTGCTGGCGACCTTGCCCAGCGGGATGAACATGCCGATTGATGAAAAATGGAAACCAACTGTTCTAGAAGAGGATGAGCTGGCGGCCATGCGTGCACCACCCGAACATTATGATATGGCCGATGGTGGTAGTTCCGAGGATGAGGATGGGAGTCCGAAGCAGCCGGTGGGCGCTTTCCCGGGCACACACGGCGACTATGGCGGAAATGTGACGACGACGTACTACTGATGAAAGACTCCCTTGTGGGAAGTAAATCCTCGTTTGCTCCACGGGAAGCAATCCAAAGATATATGCCCAGCTTTCCCGACAACCAGGGGGCGTCAAGGGCCTCTGAAGCTACACTGTACGGTGGCTGCGTGGCGAGTATTGGGTGCATGACTCGCGAGCATTGATGCTAACTTCACGACTGACTCGCCGCATCGACTTCTCCCGAGGCCTCCTTAGCCCCTTGCGCACCCGTTTCAGGGCCGTTTCATATTTGCGTGGTTGGTCCACCATCACCATTACTCACAACGTACGTGCATCTTGTTACAGGATGGCCGAGTCCGGATATGTGATGCGCTCTGGTCAGCCACGTCCGATGATCCAATGTGATCTTCGCCCCTAGCTGCCCGGTGCAACGCGCAGGCTGAGGCTGGGATCCGCGGCGCGTGTCGAAACAGGACACCGCGTTTTCCCCCGTCGCGGTCGGTGGCAGGTGTTCTGTCATCCATGTTCGGCCTTACCTGGCGTGCCTGAGTTCGCCCCTTTATACCGATACTGAGCACAACGTAAGCGCACAACACACCGAAGTTCAGTCCGGGCCGCATTCTGACGCCTGAGCCTGTGCGATGCTGGTTTGATAGGACCTGGTAGGTTGGCAATGCGCGACGTTGATAAGCATTCACGTCCCCCTCAATGTCGGCATACTACTGTTCGATGTGATGTATTTTGCCCTACGCACTTCAGCTGCGCTTTCCATGTTTGTCTCATTCCTTTCTATGTGCGCAAACCGCTGGTCGGATGTATCTCAAAAGGCTGAATCAAGCGTCGAGCTACTTTTTAAGCTAGCTCCTTATTGTCACTATCGCCCAACCCCAACTATTGTCCAGCCGCTCCTATGATGAAGCCCCTACATCAGGTGGGCGCAACCATATCAATACTCTTGTCGACAATAACACCTTTGAGCCAGGGACTTCCGATGGTGGTGGCGGTAGTACTACCGAAGACTACTATGCGAGATGCACAGCAATCTATCTCAACCATCATCAACATCTCCCACAAGAGACACGAGGAATCTCATCGTTTCGTCGAAAGATTCGTCCCTTACCAGCCCAATATCGCCAACAACACGAGCAGCACGATCCCGACGCCAGCTTCTTCCACTGATCCCAATGAGAGTGCAGTATCAGCAACGTCGGCAGGTACGACTACTGGTCTATGTGTGAGCTGCTTGGGCCCAGTCTCGACAGTGGACGCAAGTGGACCTCTGGCGCCTATTTCAACCGTTACTGTTGGGGTAATCACCACTGCTTCAAGTCTGGCTACAGCAACCACTCCCTCAGCGGACGTTGGTACCCTGACGCTGACTACAACAATGACAATGGCTGCATCAACAGCCACAACGAGTCAGCTAATGTATGGATCTGAATCTGGATCTGGATCTGCACTTTCTGATACCGGTTCTCAACCCGAGTCAGCCGCAATGTCGACCTCTCTACCACCTGGTATCCGAACTTTCCCACCGGTCACGGCCATCTCTACTGCCGATTCTCCTGGTGAAACCACGCCCATACCCGCAGCTGCTACCAAGATAACGACAACGATTTCTTTCTTCACTATCTCTGTCCTGAACCCGACTACAAGCACGAGCACGAGCACGAGCATAAGAACAGGCTGTCCGTCTCGCTCTATCAGTGCAGACCAGTCGACGCAGTCATTACCGGTCATAGTCACCATTGGTCTACTGCCGTTCCAGACGAGTCTGTCTGCAACGTGATGAACACATGACTCCTGCAACGAGAAGTAATACTCTACTCTACTATTATAATATATCATACCCCCTTTCCTACGTACAGAAGTGTACAGTACCTGATTACAGTAATAATGTGCGGTGCCGTCGACGCCAGCGCTTACCCCTCGCGGTCACCAACCAGATCGGATTCGGGGTTCACACAATGCTTCCCGTTGTCGTCGTGGTCAATTACCTGATCTGGCGTGATTGAGTCAATTCTCGCCGGGCCCCGGGTGTGGATCGCTGGAATCGCTGGGTGTTTCCGTATGTGAAATAACCCTACAAATGGCGGTCAGGCACCACTGCACCTATGAACAATTGTATGCACCCTCTCCGATGTGATGCTGTGCTCTATCCTTGGGGAAAAGGGAACTCAAAACAGTGCTCGTGAGTTGCGACAAGGGAGGTCCATATCACGCAAGACGCGGCCGGCGGAGTTAAGTACACATGCACCCACCTAGTCGGTGGTAGAGTTCTTCCCGCACTGCACCGCGTATACAAATTCTGCACAATAATTCTACCACCGACTAGGTGGCACCCCATCTCCATTTCCGTTTTTGTAGGGTACTATCTCCAGCTGCCACTTCAACGCGAAATGCTAGTCCAATTCCGAGCTGTAGAACTACATTGGGAGCCTGTTATTTACGTTCGGGGAACATAGGGACTGCAGCGGGATATCTAATATGTACATTTTGTCAGCAAAAACTCTGGTGAAAACCCAGTCGTCACCGCCTACACTCTGGCATCTGCCGAAGCCATATATCAGTAGTACAGGAGGAGTGGATGCGGATTACCAGCGGGGGTGGATGTCCTACAGTAATTTAGACCGGGTAAACGTTGTCGTGGTTGTGCCTGATTTCCGGATAATCGTATCGCGTCTTCAATATTCCATGTTCCGGTTCCCCCTCCTCCCCTTACCAGGGCTGTACTACCTTATTAGGGGTCGACTTTGTACCTACCCCTCATTGATATCAACATTCTTCAGAGGGAGAACGAATCGACGAATTGACGGATGATCGGTCACAAGGGGTTCCAACAAGAGGTGTGCCTTTGCGGAGTCGGTCCCTGAATTGCGAATCCAGCCTGCTAGTGATGATCAGTGAGTATGTAGTAGATGCGAGAGTTTAGATGCATATATATAAAGCCGGCCCCATGCCCTAAAGATTCTCCTCTTTTGACCTGGGTTCGGATCATCACTTCACTGTCAGCTCACATCAGTATAACGTTCCAAACAACCACATAAACTCCTCGCAAAAGTTAGCCACATCCACCTGTCACCATGTCGTTCTCTCTTCACCCATTGATCGACAACGGCATCACCAAAGGCCGCGAGGACTTCCCCGGCGGCAAGCTTCGCTGCAACTGCGGCAGCAACCGCGTCGAGGTTGACATTACGGGAAATGTCCTCCACAATCACGCTTGCGGTTGCAGTCAATGTTACAAGCCGAAAGGTGCCCTGTTTTCCATTGTTGGGGTGGTTCCGGTCTCGAACCTCAAGGTCACTGCCAACGAGGACAAGCTCCAGATCGTGAATAAGGACGCCACGATCCTCCGCCATGCATGCAAGGAATGTGGTGCGCATATGTACGGCCGGATCGAGAAGGACCATGCCTTCAAGGGTTTGGATTTCGTTCATGTCGAGTTGTCCGACGACAAGGGTTGGCAGGAACCGCAGTTCGCGGCTTTCGTCTCGTCCCTCATTGAGCAAGGCTTTGATCCTGCCAAGATGGGCGAGGTGCGGGACAGGTTGAGGAAGCTCGGGCTGGAGCCGTATGATGCACTGAGTCCGCCGTTGATGGACGCTCTTGCGACCTATGCTGCGGAAAAGGCGGGAGTCAGGGGCAAGCTGTGAAGGAGAAAGGCGCAGTTCCAGTTCGGGAGTAAGCAAGTGGTGTCCCTGAAGGTGGCTGCTGCGGAATGAGCTGTGTTGTGCTGCGCCGGCATCCGTCAGTTGCTGTCGCTAAGTTATCAGGTGCAAATTATTCCACAAAAAAAGCCTGAGACAATCAACCATATCGCTTTTCGCCGTTCAGAAACAGCCCCGCTTAGATTGTGTTCGGAACTGTTGAACCAGTTAGTAGTTGATGTAGCAACCTCGACTGCGAGAGCCCATCTACCGCCAGGACTGCCGAAAGTATATAAAAGCGAGACGTTCAATTTCAGAAACCAGCCCAACGCCGAGGTTGCAGACTTCGGTGTGCTGGCTGGAGTCAGAAAGCGGCGGCGGAAGCATAGTAACTCTCCCGTAAACCATTCATGAAGAAGAATTTCGAGGAAACATGGACGAAAAACAGAAAGGCATTCTGCAAGTCTCATAGCCCAAAAAATTCCGCATTTGCTTGTAACCGGCATTCGCTCCGGGGTAGTATGTACAATTGTTTTTGTGCCATTCCAAGAAACGCGGATTGTCCCATATTGTTTCGCATCAATATAACACATCTCCACCGTTGCCGGTGGTGTTTCCTGGCCTGTAATCCGAACCCTTTGCGCCCTTGGCTTGTTGTGCGGTCGGGTAAGTTGTTTGGATTTCGGGTCCGCCGGCCGGTCCGTCGACACCAGGAACGTAGTTTTGTTGTCGTCCTCTGTAACCTTTCTCTTTGTTTCCTTTTAAAAGTTGCAGGTATCGTTCTGAGTCGGCAAATGACAATGTCAGCCGTACTGCACCGGTCTGAAACACAATGGGCATCGCAAAAGTGCTCGTGCGAGGGCTGAACTGTACCTCTGTACTTTCCGCATTTCTCCAAGTGATTAACTCCTTCTCGCTTGTAGCATTTCCCTGAAGCGAACGAGTTAGTCATACATTGACCAGACATACTCCGCGGATGCACAATGTAGGCGTGGTGCGGGCTGCTACCGGTCTGCTCAAGCAACTCCGGAGACTGGCCAGCTAGCCAGACCGACGTCGCACAATTCCAAAGCATGTAAAAGCCACATGAAATCCAAACGTACCCATCTCCTCGCCTACTAATCTTTGCATCATCTGCTGAACCCATTGTTCTCGAACAATAGCATCTCTGGCGTCCGTGACAGCCTGGTTGTCTGAAAAGTCCACCCCTTGGAACGTCGGAGGCACCTTCGGCTTCTTCGCGAGAAACGCTTCGGACTCTGGAGTGGGCATGTTTGCGGTGTGTACGGAGGGTTCGGACTGAGGAGGGACTGTGGTGCCCTTGGTTGAGGTGGACTAGAACACAGGAGCTGGGCGGCAGACAAGGCTGGCTCACGGTAGCCGATAATATTCCAGGACCGCCGAGTGCGCGGCCTGAGTCGGACAAGGTATCAACTTGAGTTGTTGGACTGCGGGAACGGTACAGCTTGAACAGACGCAGTTACTCGAGTGTCTTGCTAATGTCGTCGAGCTCAATCGCCAGCTTCAATATTGCCAAGCCTGCGTTCCTCTTCGGGCCTAGACCGGGACTAGTCGCAACTCCAACCCAACGACATCATCAGTTTCATTGGCTGTGGACAACTCCATATTTTGGTCATACTACTGTGCCATTGATTCAAAGTCAACGGGTATCAAAGGCTCGACCTGTCGTTCGTCATAATGGCCTGGAAGGCGGTGTTAAAGTTTCACATCATTGACTTCAACCCGGTGAGAGCATTGAGTCCTTGATCAGAGATGTCAGGTCAGGATGGGCCAAAAGGGGGTTCACTCTGTACCCGATCTAGCTCTACTGTACTACCTCACGTCCGCCAATGAGGTCAAGCTGTGACCAATACATGTAGCTGTATAGTAGTCCCGTCAGCAAGCCATCTCTAACACCATAGAGCTCCAAGACCCCCAACCTGCGGCACCCCCAACTCTGAGGTCTCTGCGCGCCATCGCAAAATACAGGTATCACGAGTCTCAGCCTAAATTCATGCATTGGGCCGTTCGGTCTCCGCCGATGTGGCCGACCGGGAACGAGTATGGTGAGCTGGATCGCCCATCTCCTGGGGGCAAAAGACCCTTCCAAACGCCGCTTCGCTTTCCTTGTTGTGCCCCCAGGTGTTCGAGTCCCGCGACTGAGCAGCGACCCTCTCCAGCGTTGCGCAATCGGTTCTTGCGTACTCGGATGCATCCCTCGAGACACCCTCTTTGACAAGGAGTCGTACCAAAAAGACGGGCCAAAGGTATCAGAACCGTTGATCTGGCCTCCGGCTCATCTTCCACCGCATCTGCACTCAGCAAGCCTGGCTGTCAACGGAAATGATTGACCGCATCTACACGAGAACCAGAGTCAGTAATGGCTCTTCATTCGAGCATGATATCGCACGCTATTGGCAAAGCGGTCGCTTAGCGGTCGCTTGATTAGCTTTAGTTGCCGTGCCCCTTGATCTCAAGAACAGAGTCTGCTGAATCGCCACCATCCCTCGGCAAAATCCTGGGTGATTCAACTTCTGTGCTTTGTCTGGCCTGTACGGCGGATTGGATTCAGGAGGATGGTGAGGCACTATGGAGTCTCCTGGTCCAGCACCTCTGGCGGATGTGGCTTGAGCTTGCAGTGCAATCCATAGTCTCTTGACCAAGTCAACCTGTCGTTGCGTCATGTCACAACCCATGCAGCTGTTTCATTCTCCCACAGGTTCCGGTCTCGCACTAAAGAGCAACTTGTACTTGACGATATCGACAATCTCCAAGTCCTCGGCAGATGACAGTGATCGCCGGGGAGAAGAAGAAGAATTCACATCGTCGTTGACAAGTCCATCTTCGCTTGTTGCTTTCTTAATCACAGCAAGCGGTTTCGCCAATTTCTTGATTTCGCCAGTGAGTCGCTGATGCTTGCCGACGTAAAGGTAGACCTTTTTCATCCATTTGCCGTCGCCGTTCCCTGGGTCATCTTGTGGATTGTAAAGTGGGAATTCAAGTCGGCCAATCGATGTTGTCTTGGTGACATTGACATTGTTGATATTAGACTCATAGCTTTCGCGTTGTTCCTCCAATGATTGTTGAAAGGGGCCATAGATCGTGCCTTGAATCTCAACTATGGCGAGGCCAGATGGGGTATGGAGAATCGGCGGAAGCGGGTTTGGGGTTGTCGAGTCTGTATTGCTTTGGGATGCTGATGTTGCGAATAGCTGCACAGCTGGCATCTTGCGGATTAGGTACAGGTACCTAGCTTACTAGTAGCTTATGTGTTGTTCTGCTTCCGAGCCATGCCATGCTTGTCATGAGGCGGATTGAGAAAAAGCGCGTTGAGCAGACGCGTTTGGAGGAGTTTAAAATGTGGTATAGCAATGCTCCACCGTATTAAGGGGGAAGGAGCGTATCACGTGATACGATTTTGAACGACGACGATGTGGTGTCGGAGGAAGAAGAACATCAGATGTGTCTATACTGACGTGGTCGTACTGAGTGGATGCCAATCGGTTTAGATATGCTCTAGTCGGAACCGCGAGGATAGACGTTAACCAAATAGTCCTGCAGGCAGTGCTGCTGTCGTTGGGTCCCAGACGAGGCTGAACCTGCTGTAAAGCCTTGCGGACAGTGGACAGAACTTTGCGCACAGTGACCCTACTTGCCTCACAGTGCATTCGGTTCTGCCATGTCACCCCGAGCCACATCGGACGAGCTGTCGGCTCTCCGAAATCCAACACCAGGACTTGCCTGACTTTTGCGTGACGACAACATCACTGCAAGTGGTGCGAAATCCAGCACGATAAATGCATGTCAAACAAGTCTCTAAAGACGTCCTCAAGAGTGATTTGAAAGCACTTCACCTGATTTTAATGATCGAGAGCGACCGACCCTGGAGGATGACTGGTAAACCGGCAATTGAAGTGCAGCCGGACAATACCAGAATGGTGTCAGATGAAGCCTCAAGAAGACTGCACTGATTCAGGCCGAGGTTGCACCGCCCCGGGGATGAGCCGATTATTCTGAGTTGCTGTGAAGGCCGAGAGGGTTTGCAGCCTTGTATTAGCTAACTGTCGGACAACTCGGGTGAAAGTGGTGAACCGGAGCTTCAATGGTTGTAACTCAGTAACAGTAAAATGGTGACGGCCGGCCTCGAGTACATATTGTCTCTTAGACCTGCAGACCAGAGAGACTTTTAACCCAAAAGAAAGAGGACTTCGTTGACAATGCGGGTGACGAGTTGGTCGGAATAAAAGGTGAGGCTGACAGAATAACACAAGGCTGGATGACTATTCATTCAAAGAAGAATACCACCCACGCAGAGTTGGGTAGCTAACGTAGTGTTGATCTAGCAACCAACTTTGTGAAGCTGACCTCAAGCAGTGTTGTCAAGCAGTCCATTAAGTGACGGGGAAGAGGCTGCAGTATATCTTCTCTGTCTGCCCCGGCGACAATGACAACAACCAGCACAACCACCACCACCAAAACTATTTTCGCTCTTCTCAAAATTCGAATACCCTGACCGAGAAAACAATAGATCATTCTCTCCTGCAAGAACGAAAAGTACTTATTGTTCTGCTCGCCATTTTGACCAGACCCCTTATATGCTCTGCAGGTGCATAGGTCCGGGGCGGCCACCGACAGGAACAACATCAACAAAACAAACGCCAAGTACCGTGCAGGAAGCTGCACTTACCTACCTTTCGGTCAACATCCGAGGTCGCAGTGACACACAAGAATGCCTCCAAAGAAGATCAAACGCGAATCGCTCGGCCAGATCTCAAACGTCAGCTTGGACGAGCATGCTAGCATCAACAGCGGCGAAGCAGGCAACCATCCATTCTTCGAGAAGAGCCTGCAGCCAGTTCCAGTTCCGTCTCATACGTCCTCAATCACCTGGAAGAGCAAAGCCGTAAAAGAAAAAGAGGAGTTCGAACGCGTCAAGCAACGAGTCAGACATTTCGCTCCTGAGCAGTTCAGAGCCAAGGCGAAACCAGGTCACGCACCGTCGGAGATCTTTCCTCAGAACGTTGGCGAGTGGATTACCCACAAGAAAGAGATGCTTGCCATGGCCGAGGCAGAGAAACAAAAGAACTGCGACTTGCTCAAAGCACAGATCCTTGCGCAAGAAAAGATCCCGAAACATCAGAGAAAGCTCAAACCAGTCTTTGGCAAGGATGGCAAGGTCTTCACAAATGGTCTTAGTCCCGTTCTCGGTCTCCCTACCATCTGGTCCGCCGAGTACAAGGGTGAGCCTGCACCTTGGCCCACTGTTGGAGAGATGCAATGGAATGGTGACAGTAGAGAATGCGTGCTTGCAAGAACCAAATGCGGCCGATTTCTTCCCCCTCCACGTGTTCCGGCAGAGCCAAAGTCATCGGTGCCATTTCAAGACCTGCCATACAAGAGACAGCTCCCTTTAGATCAGACAGGACCGATCTTCTGCAACGGACCGCGACCGGACGAAATTCATTCCAACAACGCTGAAATGGACAACGATCCAGAGTTTGAGGCTCAAGGGAACTTCTATCTGGGATCAGAGCTGATGGAGGAGCTGGGCGAGTGGAAGCCACCCTATGTTCCAGAATGGCAACAGGAGCAGCATGCAATGGAGGAAGAGCTTGCAGTTCAAGTTGCGGCCAACTACTCAGAGCAAGTTGCCGCCCCGGCATTCGGCTACACTGGGTATGCAGATATGAACACTTCGGGCTGGTATGACGGCAACTTCCAGGATCTGGCGTGGGAGAACTATCCGGTCTGGTGGTGAAAGTGGTGACCGGTCCAAGGAGTCCGATGTGGATGGGTAAGAAGGACTTTCGAGGACCCTGCCGGCAATGTCTGTGTATCAAGATCTCACTCCACGCTCCGCTGCGATTAGCGAATGCTTCTGTCAGGCTTACCAGGTCCAGCCATTACTACGAGCTGGCCAGCACCAGGAAATGCACCAGGAAACGGCGATTTGATTTCTGCAAGAAATGGATTGGGGCTGCGGCGGAGCGTGAAAGGGAGAGCTAAGGCAGATGCAGCCACATGCAAGCAATGATGAAAGTGTGCAGCAGGTTAAGCTTTGAGGAAAAGCATGAGCACCACATAATAATCGGTTCAGTGCTTGCCATTCCCTGGTTTCTTTGGTTGTGTGCTGCGTATCAATCTCACCGCCACGATGTTATAAACAAGGCGCGTGTTTCGGTCGATTGAGCTTTCCACGCTGGTGACCCACTGCGATGACTAATCTTGGCAGCCTTGCCAACCGTCATGACATGATTCGTCTACCATACACTGCACTCCGAGTCTGGCTATTTCCCACTAGTAGAGGCGAATGAGTCGCCGACTTTCCCGGAGTCAGGCGAGGCTAGCACTACCTTCCAGTTGGCCACGCTATCCCCGCGATTCATGCAAACAATGACTCGGAATGCGGAGTTTCGGGCTCCAGAACCCCAGACCTCGGTACAGACATAGATACCAGGTAGACACACAGAGCCGGGCCGGGGTACTCCACGCATCGCGCGGAATATGAAATCAAAGACAGCATTCAGCAAGCCCTTCCTCTCCGTCCCAGTAGAGGAGGGCATCACCCAAATACCTGAGGTAGGTGATCAAGATGTCCCGTAAGTATATTCCCCTAATTCAAAGGCGAGCGTGCGTAAAACATCCACTGACTGCGGTCTCTCTGTACAGTCACCACCGTCGCGGCAGCCGTCGCAGGCGGGCTAGCCACAGCGGCGTATCTAGACGCGAAATTCCTGATCAGCAATGACCTTCGCAGCGGCAGCTTGGGGGCGACCAAGCAAGCCGCCGATTTCATCGCAAAGCGAGCAGCCCAAGACAAACTGCTGATCTACCACTTGATCGAGGAGCACGCGCAGGGCAAGAACGCCAACAACCTATTCCTCATCTTTGAAGACCGGACATGGACGTACAAACAGTTCTACGAGGATCTGCAAAGAGTGGGCAACTGGCTGCTCAAAGACCTGGGGATTCAGCCACGAGAAATAGTCGCCGTGGACGGCGGGAACAGCCCAGAATACCTGATGCTGTGGTTCGGGCTTGAATCCATTAACGCCTGCCCGGCCTTCATCAACTACAACCTCACGGCGGGGCCGTTGACTCATTCGGTGAAACTGTGCGATGCGCGGTACTTGCTGGCGGATCGTGCTGTGCAGAATCTGGTTGACCCATGTATCCCGGAACTTTCGGCGTCCAATGTGCAGACGATATACTATGACGAGAACTTTATGGCCGCGCTGTCCGACAGCACACCGCTGCCCAAGTCACGACAGCAGAAGCTCCGGCCGGACGAACTATGCAGCTTGATCTACACGTCGGGCACGACGGGGATGCCCAAGGGGGTGATTATGCTCCGGGGACGCGAACTCAACACGGCTCGGGGCATCAGCCTGTACTTACAGCTGAGGCCGGGCAACAGAATGTACACGGCCCTGCCTCTATACCACGGGGCAGGACATGGACTATGTGTGACGCCGTCGATCTTTGCCGGGTCGACGGTGGTATTGAGCCGCAAGTTCAGCCACAAGACCTTCTGGCCCGAGGTGCGCAAATCGCGCGCCGATATCATACAGTACGTGGGCGAACTCTGTCGGTACCTGATCAACGCGCCGCCGAGTCCACTGGACAAGCAGCACAATGTGAAGATGGCATGGGGCAACGGAATGCGGCCGGACGTGTGGGAAGAGTTCCGACAACGGTTCGGCATTGAAATCATCAACGAGCTGTACGCGGCGACGGACGGGCTAGGGGCGTCATTCAACGCCAACCGCGGCGAGTTTGGACGCAACGCCATCGCCGTGCGCGGCTTGCTCTGGCACTGGCGGAACGGGGCCAACGAGAAACGCGTGCGCATCGACCCAGACACACAGGAGATATTGCGCGACGACAGAGGGTTCGCCATCGAATGCAAGACCGACGAGGCCGGCGAGGTGCTGCACAAGCTGGACCCTGCGACCGCCGACGCCGTGTTTGCCGGATACTACAAGAACCCCGGGGCCGGGGACAAGCGCAAGATCTGCGACGTCTTTGCCAAAGGGGACCTGTGGTTCCGGTCCGGCGACATGATGCGCAAGGACAAAGACGGCCGAGTCTACTTCGTCGACCGGCTGGGCGACACCTTCCGCTGGCGCAGCGAGAACGTCTCCACCAACGAAGTCAGCGACGTGCTCGGCCGCTTCGACCAGATCGCAGAAGCAAACGTCTACGGCGTCCAGGTGCCCCATGCAGACGGCCGCGCCGGATGCGCCGCCATCGTCCCCGTCGAGGGCGTCACTGCCGACACACTCGACCTGGCCCGTCTTGCCCAGCACGCAATCTCCATTCTCCCCCGGTACGCCGTCCCGATCTTTCTGCGTGTCGTCGCTCAGCTCGAGTACACTGGCACCATGAAGCTGCAGAAAGGCCGTCTGCGAAACGAGGGTATCGATCTCGATAAGATTCGTCAATCCAGTCCCGATGACCGTATCTTTTGGCTCCCGCCAGGTGCGAACACTTATGTTCCTTATGGGCCGAAAGAGTGGGAGGATTTGAAGGCCGGGCGTGTCAAGCTGTGAATGACTACAACTAAGTCGATTCACGTCTACAGTAGACTCTAGACAAGACTACGAAATAACACTTACTTCCTGTACCCTGATTTAGGTTTTCCAACTTGACTTGGCCTGAGTTGACGTGACATGACACTCTCTCCGCGTGGCTAATTTGAACATGGACAGGCAGGCAGACAGGCAGCTCCAGGAAGTATGAAGAAAGATATCAAGACCCAACATTACCAAGGACTCGAAGGTGTGCAAGATCTCGAGGTTCTCCAGATACCTACGAACTAGCTATATATGAATACATACAAGTACAAATTGATGTTATATCAAGAGGCCAGGTTCAAGCTTGGCTAGCGGATCAAAAATCTTGATGAGGTAAAATCTCATCTACAGTAGGCAGATATGAGCTCGTTATGCTGACCCCTACGGTTAGATATATGTACGGTGGACCGTGACGATTATATTTGCACCCAATTTCAAATCCAGTCACCATATAAGAGCCACGGTGGATGGATAGGCATGTACTAGGATAAGAGATCGGCAACGATGTTTGGGATGATTTTCCAAGTTGGTCTACAGCAAGTGGACGAACGGTCCAGTACTGGATCTGACATGATCTTTCTGCTTCATTCTTGGAAAGATGTACTGGTCGACACCTGCTGTAGCAACCGCGAAGGATATCTATCTAGGCAGAGTCTGCAGATCTTGTGCGGGCCAAACATTCCAGCATATGTGTTTATCGTAGGGCCTGAACCCAAACACGATGTACCCAGATGAAATTTGTCGGGGCCTCAGTCCCCTAGATACCAGTGACCAGTACTTATGAGTGCCACACTGGCTAGACATCACGGGGATCGCGGTACGGGAACCAGAACCAGAATCAGAACGAAGGCCAATTCCAAAAAGTAAAGTGGACGAGAGTCATTCTCCCATCGCCGCCCGCATCCGTGACATCAAGTCGCCGGAACAGATGTGAGATCGTCTCTGAGCATACGTACGGATGTCCTCTTCTGTCTATCTTAGTAGACGTCCCAGCTTGTACTTTGCTTCTCCAGACGTTGAAACGATGTCCACTCTCGATATTCGTCTCTCCAATATCGATGGTCATGGTCGATTGTAATACAGTCATGCAATGTAACCAACATCATATCAGTATGGACATGAACGAACGTTTCGTTTTGTGCATTCCCACGAGACCCTGTTGACCCCGACCGAAGCGCCCGGAGAGTCGTGGTTCATATGTATGACCGGGCAACACCTAACAGAAGAGAGCATGTCATTTCGTCAAAGAGGATGCGGTTCGATGGCGGCTGCTGGCCGTCAAAGCCGGGAAGCCAATTGGCAGGGAGGTAGGGTCCAACAGGCGGTTCTAATTGTGATTTTTATTCGAGTGCTCGTTTCAAGTCGTTCCATTTCTGCTTGAGCGTCTCATGTTCGGCATTGAGCTGAAAACAAAATTCGACATGTCAGCAAGACCTGTTCGTTCATACAGCAACTCGGAGAATGGGGAGAACTTACCTCAGCATACTTCATCTTCATCTCCACCAGTTCTCTCTCCATCTCAGCCATCTGCTCTTCCATGTGACGATTCTCGTTTTGAACCTCAATGTTTCTCTGCATGACTTGTTCCGTGCCGGCCCTCATTCTGGCTTCGACATTTGCGGCCTCGCTTTCGGCGACTTTGCGCAGCTCCTCAACCTGGCCAGCCAGACTCTCGTTCCGATCTTGCAGTTCGGTGTTCTCGACCTTCAGTCGCACCAATTCATTGGCTAATTCGATGTGCTCGGCATCCGACTTTTCCACCCTCTTTTCCAGCGACCGGATCTGCGCGGCTTTGGTGGCGCAATCCGTCTTGAGGTTCTCCAGCTCGGTCTCTCGAGCTTTCTCGGCCTTTGTCGTCGTCTCCCATTCTTCGCGGTAGCGGTTGAGCATTTCCGGAGTGAGCTTGACCGCACACGCATCCTGGACCAAAAGATCAGCTCGATACACTTCGTTGTCCGTGCCGCCCGAACTTCCAAAAAAGCCGGATTCCAAGATCGATTTTGACGACGGAGTTGCGTCGATGTAGACATCGAAGAGCTTCTCCTTCAGGAAATTCGTGAGGGCTTGCATGTCTTGCATCGCCAGCAGCGTCGAGACATTCCGTTGGACCAACGCCATGCCAAATTTCAAAATAGCCCCTTCGAGCCCTTCGCATAAGATTAGGTCAAACACCCTCATGACTAGTTGAAGCGGGAACCGATATGCAAACAATGTCAAAAACCACTGAGTTGCATAGAGTTTGGGAGTGACACCTCGGCGGTTGAGATGGCAATATAATGCCGGTTCAAGGTCTTCCAACAGCCTCTCGAACTGGTATAAATGCAGATGCAAGCCGGGCATGTCCTGAACGAATAGATCTCGCAGCTGATACTTATTCATCAAGCGGACCAGCAGACAAAAAGCTTCTTCTTCCGGCATCGTAAAGAGTAACGGCATGACAATAAAGTTCAGGCCTTGCGGATATCCAACCGCGTCGTCAAAAAGCGCGTAAGCTCGACAGACGTGGAACAGGCCGTCTTGCAAACCTGCCGCCGCTGCGTATTTTGAATAGCTTGTCCTCGAGCCCATATCACGCTTGATCATTTTCTCCAGTTTGGCCAGTGCGGCAGAATCCTCTTTCGCCTTCTTTGCACGCTCTGCAGCCAACTGTGTCTGAAGACGGCTGCTGGCTATCGGATCTGATGGCTCATGCGATGGAGAAGGCGACATAACTCCAACGTGGGCGCTGGTGGCAGGTGTGGAATGGTCAGATCGAACAGATGACCTTGACGAGCTTTCCGATTCCTTCTCCTTGACACCACCATTGGCATGTCCGTTGAGCATTGGAGATTTCGGCATGCCCTCCTTGACCTCCGCATTCGGGCCTCGAGAGCGGAGATCCCAATAGATCGCTTCCAGCTCTTCATTCTTGCTGCCTGCGAGCACCTGCCAAATCACCGGCCGAATTGTCTGGGGAATTCCTCCACTGATAGCTAGTGTAAACTCATCCGGACTCGTACGTGCAACGGCCTGTGGGCCTTCGTTGACCACATTCTGCCAGAAATCCCAATCTATCGGTGTGGCTGTATCTGCGGACGAGGCTGCGACGCCGGACACGGTTCCAGGTGGAAGATTGGGATTTGTAGGGACGCTGTCGGTTGTCGGGGACGTGACAGGGCTAGCAAGGACGTGTTCATCGTGACCAACACTCCCAGGTGTAGCAATCCCTACCCCAACGCTTGCTGACCGGCCGACAAGCCCTGCGATTGCTCCACCCTCCGGATTGTCGGTACCTTCCAGACTCGTTATGCCTGCTTCCTCCCGCAACCGCAACATCTTGAACTGTTCGCGGAGGGAAGCCCTGGACGGTTGTCTCTGGCCATTGGATCCATCTTGCGACTCTTCCAGCGTTTTCAACATCAGATCCGGGTTGCTCCCAATAGTAGAGGCAGTATTGCGACGAGCATCAGCCGGCGGCCTTGACGACAACGGTGGAGAGCGATTCTCTTTTGGTGCCGAAGTGGCTCTGCTCAACCATCCAAAGGGAGTGGTTACTTTGCGCCCGAAGGACGATGTCGATGCGTGGGGCGGCTGCGGAGAGGGAGCACGGGCATCTGAGGCTTTTCTCGGTGGTGGCGGTCCCCAGGGGACTGAAGGCAGAGAAGCTGAGAAGCCCTGGAATCTCGAGGGACGCGGAGGAGGTTTAGGTGCGGTCTTTTCAGCAGTTCCGGCGTTGTCGGCCGCATCTTCGGGATGCTTTATCGTCGGCGTTGACTGGTCGCCGTGCGAATGGTCCGACGATGTCTCGTCTACCGCAGCAGTGTCGACATTGACCTCAGGCCCCTTTTGTTCGGAGTCCACCGGACCATCCTTTTCTTCCTGATGCGCGTGTTCGTCATCCTGAGACGTGGTAGGGTCGTGATCTGCAGGCTTCTCGGGTTCTGTAGGCTCAGTCTGCTGGGTCGCTTCCGGCTTTGGATCGTCCTTGACATCGTTGGCGTCTTCGAATCTCTAGTACAGTGTTAGAAGCGGCTGCTCTTGGTATTGTAATCAATGGCTGCCTACCTCTTCCATGTCGGTGTTGTCTGCACTGGATTGCACTGTCTCCATCTTGAGTTTTCAAATGTGTTGCCAATCTTCAGACCATCATCAACCACCACCAGGGTCGGTACGAGGAAAGAAGAGTGCCGGACAATTGTCGGAAGGAAGGCCCGACGCAAATGTGTGATGTAGATGTAAAATGTATCGGTCGAGACGCGGTCCCGGACTATGGAAGCAGCAAGGTACAGACTCGGGAACGGGAAGAATCAAACGAACGGGGGTGGTCACTACCAGTCACCAGGACGTGTTGTGAGTCGTGTGCACCGAGAGCGGCCTTCAATACGACGTCGCAAAGGCTTGTTGAATGCAGTGGTGGTGCGGAATCGAAATAGGTTATTGTGTTTTACTGATTGTTGTTGTTAGGGAATTGTTGATAGTCGCAGTTGTTGAGTTTCAATGGATTCAAGTTTGGGGTTTTGGTGTCGTTCAAGTTCGGCCACGCATCGCGCAGGGGAGATTCAGCCGCAGGAACAGGGAACTGGTGGACATCTCGTGTCTAACGCGCCACTACACCGGGAGGATACTTTTGATTACAGTACATAGTAGGTATCCAGTATCTCTACAATCTGCCACTGCCAGAACTGGATGTGGTCCTGCAGGGGACCGCCGAAGAGGCAATTGTGTTGCTTGCAGGGGCACCGGCCTTGTACCACGTTGGCCCTGAACCGCAAAAGAGATACCCGAACTGCCAGTGTCTACTGCCAGTACACGCCAGACTGCAGAGTGCCACTTAACGTCAGTGAACAGTTGTCAGTTGAACGGTTGCGAAAAAGCCCCTATTCGCACCTGTCAAGTGTCAGTGCAAAGAAGCCAGGGCATGGACCACCCCTATTGTACAGTATATACAATGCCAGTAGTAGTTTACATTGATGTCTGCTGAAGCATGTTCATTTCCTTTCCTGCTACTGCACTGGCAGTGGATGCAGGTATGTCTGACACTGGTACCATCACAGAAGGCAGGTCCCACCAGCTTGAAATGACTTTATGTTAGACCAGTCACGTGGTTCAGAATTCACGTGATGGCCCTCAGTTTTGCTCCGGGATTGTCCAGCCAGCCACTCATGCTGCAGTGCAGGTCAAAATAATTATTTGTAAGCGCCGAGAATTTGCGGGTCCACTAGTCAGACTAAAAGCTCGGCATTATGCTATGTAGGATGCAGAATTTCCCCATACAAATGGATTTTTATTATTCTGTCAGTCAAAATAATTATGTAATCCCAGTGCACGTGCTGACTTTAGTGCAAGATTCACGTGATGGCTGAGCTGCAGCTTATGTAAGGGTCTGCACATATGGTCCAGGGTACCCGTACTCTGACTTCACATTGTTGACCACTGCACTGCTAGTACATACAATGTTGTTGGACTGTGGTGTTGTTCTAGCACTAAGTCCTCAACCCTCCCCCGAATGGTGCACCGCCTTCCCCAACTCTTTGATGATGCGAATCTTGGTGGCATGGCAGTCCTCCTTGCGCCTGCCCACTGGTTCACTTGCTTGTGCCTCAAAGAGCTTGTGCCGCATCCCTACCCGCAATGCGTCCGAATGTGAGAGACCGAAGCACGCTGGTGGCGGGTGGATCTACGGAGTGTCAGCAGAGTATCTGCAAGCGAGCAACTGAAGTACTGGGAAGTGGCTTGACCGTGCATGCCATCATGGACAAGGGCGTGCAGGTCTGCAACCACCGCCGATTGCCCGGGGTTCGAACTCACACTGGCCGTTGTTAGCACTCATGTGTACACCTCGACAAAACCACCTGCACTTACTTCATTGTAAAACAGTCCGCTCAACTCTCCGGCAGCATACAGCCCTTGAATTACGTCAGTGAGAGAGTCTCGACAAGCATTGCCGTAACATGACCCGTTGGTTGCAGTCATGCATTGCGGTAAGAGGCTAAGAGTAGGGATCCTACCAGGTATGGGGACTCCAGTCGTGGACAGCACGCGAGAATCAAGGTCGCATTTGAGACCGCCGTAAGTGAAGGTCAGTTGCGCTTTGCTTTGGTCAGCGCCAACTTCAAGTTGCAACCCCTGGATCCTTGTGCTCACCTTTCATCGGGTACCTAGGCTGGAGTCAGCGAACAGCTCATGGACGATTTCAGTGGTGACTTACCCGTAAAATGGCGGTTCGACAATAGGATGAGCCCAGTTCGTCTTGTCTGGGGAGAGGCTGTTCATTCTTAGTGGTTGCCCATTCCAGGAGTGCGAGCAAAAAACCGACCCGTTTGTCCTCTTTCCATCGAGCTTCATGAGATCGAACTCCTTGTCATTAATGCTGTGTCGGGTCAGTGCAAGCACATGTTGGCGGTCACCACGAGACTAACGCTGCATTGTATTCATCGACTGTCTTCTTCAGCTCCTTCGGGTCAAGACCAAGCTTTTCGGCAAGACCCTCGATGGTGTCGCTTTGCTCGGGTTCCTTGTCTGTGGTATCATATACCCACCCCGGTCGAAACCTGTCCATGATTGTCCGGTCGGTGATACTGGGCGAGTCAGTTACAATCCAAACACTTGTCCAGGTCGGATTTACAAATATGATCTCTGGTTCTGGTCTGGACCATGTTAGCACAACAACCTCCAGTCGCCGAGGACAACCTACCACGCCATGTCTCAAGAGCAATCATCTCGAATGTCGCAAATAGACTATCCAACGTCAACATAGTTACTGCATTGTGTTTCACTTTCCTTACTGTCGTTGTCCCTCGTCATAGAACCTCTTGCAGTCTCTGGACTCGGTCAGTTTTGTTCAATGCCTGCCAGACACACCATCCTCTGAGGGGCGGCCACCTACTTATTGACCACAATGCCATAGTTGTGTCCCCAGATCACTGCATCAGGTTTGTTCGTACGGGTATCAACGAGCTCGCACTTGAACGTCTGTCAGCGCGGGAGCACCTGATCATCTTGTTGATGTGGAACTTACATGCATGCCGCTCATGGAACCTGCAACAGCAGCACCGACTTCCAGGCCCATTCTCAACCCAAAGCCGGTGTTGTATTTCAAACCAGGGGCAATCAGCTCGAGATGCTCTGTCCGTGGCCCGACATATTTTGCCAACCTGGACATCATTAGCTAGATGCAAGTCTGCAGCGAGGGCGCCCACTCACATCTCTCGGTTGCCTTCAAATCCTCCACAGGCCAACATGACTTTCTTACCATGAACATTGGTCAGGCGTCCATCAGACTTGCGAACCTTGACTCCGGTCACCACTCCATCATCTTGCGTTAACAGTCTCTCTGCTTGTGTTTCCCACATGATAGTAACGTTATCGAACTTCCTGATGTGGTCGAAGAGAGTGTTGATGACTGCGTGGCCACCGCCCTTCACAGATACTGTCAAGCCTGAACCTTTATATACTGTTGGTCGGCCTTACCTCTGGGAACACGAAGTGTTGGTCTGCACACAACTTCAGCACAATCCTGTCGACGCAACAAGCACCTGCCACTTACTAGTGTTGAACTCAAGAAGGACATTTTTCTCATCGTGATGATTGAACTTGACTCCGTCTACCCACAGGTCAGCAAGGATATTCCAAGAGAGAGGCATGAACCAGCTCACGGTCGAGGAGGTACTGAGCAGTCACCGGGACTTCCTGTTCCATTTTCGCACAATACTCCTGGTCCGCAAGTCCTTCACTAGTCCTGTGAGTGGAGTTCTCCTCGCGGTAAGGCCAACTAACCTGACACGCTACGGATTGTGAGCAGATCATTCATTTAGCAAACACTGTGCGACTGACCTTCATCTCATGCTTCCAATCAGAGTCAAAGTTGTTGTCTGAGGGGCTAAAGTCAGCTCTAGCACCGATGAGCCCTGCGAGACAAACCTTTGTCAAGGCGAAGGTATGCCATGGTCCACCTGGATTACTATCAGCGAGGGTTCCTACATCTGGCCATGTCTCAAACCTGCTAGCACCGCATCGTTCACCCTCCTTTCCGGCCTCGATCAAGGCAACCTTGCCTCGCTTACCGAGCTTTTTGCATTCTTCCAGGAAGTTCAGCGTAGTCATGGAACCCTGTCAGCGGTTAGAGATGATCACACCAACTAGATCGTGCAACACCTACAGCAAACCCGCTTCCTACGACCACCAGGTCGTATACCTCCGGGACAGACCCGGTAAGGTTGCTTACGACGTCGCTGACGAAAGACATTGGATCATTCGGCTTGAAATGTTGTCAAGAAGCGGGTCAATTTGTAAGGATGGAACTGAGGCGTTTCGAGGAAGACTGAGAGTGTTCAAGAACATGTCGAAGTTTCTTCGTGCCCCTTTTCATTCTTTTTATCTTCAAGCCATACCCCTCAACAAGAGCACGCAGCTAGACGAAGACGGATCTCACCCCGCAAGCTACAACGAATCGTAGCACTGGGCGAACAAGGATCAAGGTTAATCATCTCGTTGGCGTTCCGCCCCCCGCAGCGACACCGTCTCTCGGAGCTGATCTGACTACGTTCCTGTCTCGAGTCTTCACAACTGAGGACACCAGGCCTCCTCCAGTGGCCATTCAGGTTTACCAGGAGCCTCAAGCCCCGCAAAGGACGACCAACGGGAGATTGAACAATGGCTTCGTGCGAGGGTGCATTTCGAGATAGGTTTAGCTTCTCGGAAACATGGACTCAACCTCGGACCGATCTCGCAACTGTTTCTGAACATTTGTTGGCTGGGGACTGAGAGATGCCGCTGTCACGAAGAGGGTCCGGGGAACCCGCGTTGTATCCACCTCCACTTCTGGCCCCGGGAATTTCTCTCCAACTACGGGGTACCTCCGACTCGGTGCGTCAACATTACTTATGATTGATAACGTCCCTTTTTATGGGATCATGCTGCCTAGTAATCTCGACATGCCTGGTACCCAGCTTGCATGAGGCCGCCCATTAGTAAGAGAAGAGCATCCGGAACCCGACATCACGTCAGCTGCTCTACGAACATTAAGACCGCACGTACTCTTTCTCCCGTCGTTGACAGTCTCATTCTTTGCATCAGCCCTCCGGCCGCGACCCCGAACTCCAACAAGGAAGCTAACCGCCAAAATGGAAGGGGAGTGTCTATGCAAAGGTATGGCCCGTAGTCGTCCGTCAGCCGAAATCGCCACGATGAGAGTATCTCTGGCTCACATGATGTCCGCTGCGGCCAGCTGTCAAAGTGAAAGTCAACGATGACAACCTATTCGGCACCCAGCGAAGAGGTCATCTCTGCCACTGCGCCAACTGCCGCAAAGTTGCGGGTGGGATCTTCGGGGCCAATCTGACCATTGAAGAAGAGAAAGTCGAATTTCCCAATGGCAAAGGCAACATCAAAATGTACAGCGTGAGGACGCCCTCGTCCCGTTTGCGGCTGGCCTAGGAGAAACTGACGTCCGAGAACAGGACCCAGAAACGCTCAGCGGGACGCCAGTCCAAAGGTAAGTGGTTTGTTTCTTCTCCAATTTCAACCAAGCTGTCTCATCTGGCGCTGGGAGAAGGGTCTTGACCTTCCGCTTGAAGCGACAGCATGAGTTCCTCGACATCTCTTTTGTCAATATTCGTATGGCAATGCTAACGCGCCCGTATCGTACAGATACTTTTGCCAGACCTGTGGCGTGCCCATCATGAGCATCACGCCCCTGTACAAAGGGAAAATCATCCTCAAGCTTGGAATTGTGAGTGTGACGTTCAGTCTCAGAGACTACGCTGCAGGGAGCAAGCAATCAGCCATCCCACTGCAGACCTGTTTCCATGCTCAATCAATTTCCGGTCAGATGGACGCTCGCCCAACAAGCTTGCCCCTTTCCAAACACCTGTGCAGAACAAACTTTTGTTGTTTCCCCTCCTAACCCCCTACCCACCCCTCGGTCACCGTGTTCATCTGCCATCATATTTGACCGAGCCGCTGACTAACCCAACGCCGCCGTGGCGAGCGAATAGTATCCCAAGCTTCCTGTGCCGGAATGGGAATCTTTTGCTTCCCAGAGGCAGGCATGGGAGAAACCACTCGATGGGGCCATACAGTACAAGACCAAGGTATGTCACTGCAAGTGTACTGTACAGCACAATCCCATCTCTACATTTACCTGGAATACGCATCTGATCTTATCCCCTTTGTCTTCACCCCGTCCCACCACGTCCTCAGCATCCACCACAATCCATTCGCTGACCATTGACCCGACCGGGCTGGTCGTGCTGTGACAACAGAGTCTCGGGGAGAAAATGCCTGGTTCGATATAAGATCCGGGATGAGAATTTGGATAGGATATGTCTCTGGCCGGCCCGGTCCAAGCGGACTCCAAGTTCGACATCGGGGATACAGTTAACTAACTAAACGATCAACATTCAACATTCCACGGTGCAGTCACGACGGGAGTCAACAAATTACGAAACCACAAATCTGACATGGAATCGGCTAGCGAGTGTCTTAGTCTGGTCGAGGCCACGATGTGACTGCTAGTTACTGTGGATTGGACTTGTGCTCGATGTTATACTGTATGATGGAACAGGAACTACAGCAGAATAAAAAAAATGATCTTTCTCAAACCACTTTCGCATGCACAATTCTCCTGCGGACTTTGGGATTGTTTTTTCTCGCTGCTCCGGTGCTGGTGGCACCCGGGAGATCTACTGACCACACTAATCGGTGCAAGTCCAGGTACTCGAAAACCGAAGATACAGAATATTCGACCATGTTCATGTCGACCACCAGGTTGGATTGACATTCGCCACGAAAGGTGATCCTGTAGGTATCCATCAAGGCCAATCAGTGTCTCAGCTGCACGGTGTCTGACGACCGCATTGAGACCAAAGGTTATGGGCACTGTGAGGACGAGGCTCGAGGAAACCACATGATCACCAAGTCCGGTCCTGTGGTGGACTTCAAGTTTGCTTGTAACTTTGGCGCTACCAGTAGGTGTAGCGGGCTTGACTGGGGGTTAGGGAGGCTACGACGTACACCTTGCAAAGTAAGGTACCTATACCTGCTCATCACCTACCTACCTAGGTAGGTAACAAAAGGGGTGAGCGAGCCTTGTTGAACAATAACCTACTGCACAGTGCACACTACGCCGCATCTTTGTTTCATTTCCTTTTTCTGGTAATTTCAATTATCATAACCTGTCTATCTGCAGCTATGGGGGGAAGAGAGAGCTAGAAAACATTTGCATGTGCAGTCGCAGAGGCACGAGCAGTTGCATGAGCAACTCTTGCCTTCAAGTTTGAGCAAGGGGCCTGTCCTTGTGGTTTGTAGCTAGACACATGCCCGGAATATTAGGATCGCGTGTGTGCGCGAAAGAAGCCCTTGTGCTGATTTGAACTTTGGTGGAAAGCAATGTGGTGAAAACAAGAGAAGCACTGCTGTAGAAAGAGCCGAAACTTTTGTTGGTTTGGTGTCAGGTAAGCTCGGATGGTGGATGCTGAAGGTTGTTGTGCGCGGTGAATGGTGCATTGTGTTCGAAGATAGCAAGGGGTGTCTGTTTGTGTAAAGCACAGCAAGTTGAAAAAACACGCGACATCTAGGAAGCCAGCGATAGGGTGACAACGGCTGCTGAGATAAACTGGCCGTATCCGGTCCGGGCCGCGCCGTTGATGTTCAGGACTGTTTGGGCGCTCTGTTCAAGCTGCTGCTTGATCACCTGAAATCTTGTCCATGCCAGTAGCATGATCATCCTCATCGAAGCCAGCTTCATCGTCAGCCTCTTCTCCCGCATCAACCGGTGCATCCACAATTGCCGGGACTGCATCTTCCTGTGCAGTGGCTTCATCTTCTTCTTCACCCTCCGGTTCTTCTTCCTCCGGCTCTTCTTCCTCTACTTCTTCCTCCTCTGTTTCGTTATCGCTGCTGGAGCTTCTGAAGTTGGAGGACGAGTTTGACTCGACCTTTGAAGGATAATGATCGTCCGAGTACCAACAGTCGTAATCATCGGTCTCCTCACCCTCCTCGTCTGCTGAAGGCTGGGTCGAGTCGCCCACATACGCTTCCTCCAGTTCGAAATCGTATCCTTCCTGCAGGTTGTTCTCCTTCAAAGTATCCACGGCCAAACTGCGAAGCTCCCGTCTCAGAGTTCTGGAAAGGGCCAACCCCTCGCGGCGACGGTAACGCTTCCACTGGATCTTTCGGTGACTCTTGCGACCCAACATCCTTAGGTGGCGCTGATGGCTGGTTCTGCCGAACTGGTCAGACCACTCCAAGTCGCAATACTCCAGCTTGAATCCTTTGATGCCGCGGAAAAATTCCTCGAATTCGTCTCTGGCAAGGTATCGTGGCATGACTCGGCTGTCCTCATTTTCATCAAGTGCGTCGATGTGGATCGTGAGACTCCGCAGGTTGCTGAAGATGTTTGACAGATCCGATCGCAGAAGCTGGGTCTGAGGCTCAAAAGTTCTCCCGTCCCCAGCTGTACGGAACGACCGGTTGAATCGACCCTGGGGAACCGGCTCTATGTCGATGCAGTCAGTGTCAAAGGGCGTGACCACTCGGAGTTGTCGAATCTGTTTGCAAAATGGTCGGAATGTGCTCATGAGAACCTCCCATCCTGCATACCGATTGTCGTTGGTGTTTACGGCCAGTGCGCCAGACCATGATGGCTCCTGGCTATCTGCGACAGTGATCTCAGATGTGTTGAGCAGGACCTCCAGCACTTCCATCTGCACTTTCTTCGAGACCATAAGAATCGCTGCACCCGGATGGTCATGACAATCAGTGTTGCCTCCCGGCTTCTGCTCGTAGACACGAACGTCAACGGCGTCAATGTGCGGACAGATGTGCCATGTCACAAGCCCGACTTCAGAATCGGTCTTGACCACTTCAGCCCATATCTTTCGTCGGATCTCAAGTGGGATCTCCTCTTTGCCACAGTGAAAAAGCGGTGACTGTGCAACAGCCGCGGACATCTTGCTGAGAGTGGTCTCCTCTTTGACTGCCTCCAACTTTCTTGCAAAAGGCTGCTTCAGTGACGCCATCCTTCTTGGTTTCTTGACAGCGATCAGAGGTTCCTTGGCCGCGTCAGGAAGCCATATCTTTCTGTCACAAGTCTTGCATTCAATTTGACTCCCCAGAGAGTTTGCGACAACTTGCGCTTCAGTTTTGTATACTTGGGACTCCATCTTGGCTGCCTTAACTGAATATCACAGAGGTTGAAAGGCCGCGAAGGGAAGAAAGGCACTGGACAGAAATGTCGCGACAGGAGAAAGGTACTTGAAGAAGTGTTGCAAGAGGAGAAAGGCGCTCGAAGAAGGGTCGCAACAGGAGAAAGGAGGTCGAGCAAGTGTTGCGAAGGCAGAAGGAAGTTGAGGAACAAGGGGTATATTTATAGAAGGAAGAGTTAGGCGAAGAACTCTTGGCGCGATTCCTCCTACCGATCATATACTATCGACAGTGAGGTTGAAGTGAGGTTAGATCAAGGTTAAGGTTGAGGTGAGGTTGAGGTGAGGTTGAATTGCTGGCTGCCTTGTGACTGCGACAGCCCTACCTCTTTAGGGACAGCAGCCTGGAGTCTTCAACTGTGATTCTGATCATTTTCTTCAGCTCCGACTTCCAGTTGGTTTCACGCCACCTTTCCCAGTGTCCAACCCCTTCGTCACTCTCCAGACTTAGTGTCTCATAGCCTTCTTTGATCACCTTCTGAATTGCAGCTGGAGACTGATGAGTCTTCTTGCCTTGTCTGGCATTCAGCAGGCCGTGATAATGGGACGACACGTTGATTAGCGCATCAACTGAGGCGTTCAGCACATCTGACTGCGGTGACCGATCACAGTAAGCCTGCTTGAACCGGGGCAGCACATCATTTGCCTCAATCAATTTATAAAAAAGGTCGTCGAAGCTGGCTGGGTCCGGCAGAAACGAATCACCCTTGGACAGGCAGAACGCCGCCAAACTTGCCAGCGTGCCACACAATTCCTCCCGAACTCCCCTCAAATGCCTGAGATCCTCCGAATACTGTGTCAAAAACCGCATCAACGAGAGGAGTGAACCCCATATGTACGCCCAATGATGGTGCAGACGGGTCTTGCTTTGTTCGAGGTAGGTGACGATTCTCAGCATGATGCCCAAGGCAAGCCCATACAAGTGGACATCCAGCCTCTTGCGTAAGTTGTGACTAAGTGTGTCAGTACAGATATCCAGTATTGCCGCTGCTGGAACTCTTGAAGAAGTGATCAGAGGCAGATGCGGAGGCCTTTGCCGACATAACCGGACCACTGTCTTCGAATCTGCCGAACATATGCGTTTCACCAGGACCGAGTCCTCCACCAGGATTCTGATGGATAGGAGGCTGAGCGTCGCATATGTCGATTGTCGGGGCCCACGGTAGGCGTGGTGTGAGACATAAGATGTTGAGGACAAGAAAGCAGCGAGTGGCGTCTCTTTATCCTTATGCGCTGGCACGTTGACCAGATTGGCAGCAAACAGTTTGTTCGCTGAGACAAATGAATACAAAGACAAGAGACAAGCTGCAGTCTTCTTTGGAAGAGAGGCAAACAACCGTTTTGCATCTTCCTCGGACGGTGGCAAAGGCTTTTTGGCATTGCTTGACAAACCCCGGAATCCCACCATAGCAAGAGTATTGCTGATACTCCACGAAGCGGGATAGTCATCCTGAACAGCGACATATTGATCACGAATCTCTACGCATGCCGTGGCAAATTTGTCGACAAGAAGCTTGATGCTGTCCTCGTTGACAAAATCTGCCAATCGATTGTGATAGACGTTCTGCGACTCGAACTTGTTGTAACTGGACAAAATCCCAATGACAACAGCAGCATCGAGCCCGTCAGCGGGATTGGTTTGGACATCATGGATATACTGCAAGAGTGTGAGTAATATTCAGTTGATTGCATTGTTCGTCTCACCTTCATCAATGCCGAAAAGAGGTCTCTATGCATGAAATAGGAGACAAGGCTGGTGTGAAAACCTCCTGCTACTAACGCAAGCGTCGCATGCAAGGCACTCCTGCGGATTGTTTCATTATCTCCCTGTCGGATGATTGACTCGAGAGTCTGGACCAGATCGGACATCAACCGGTCAATGGAGTCCAGACCGGCAAGCACTTCGATCACATCGGTATTCGGGTTGGTATACTTTTTGGTGAAAACAGCGCATAGGAATGCGGTCAAATTCTGATACAATCTACTTTAGTGCCAGGGAGAGGAGACACTCGGAGAAGTCGACGAACCTCGAGCGCGTTTTCGCTCCCAGGGGCGATGCCCGACCCTGCTTCCATCACAGCCCGGTTGAAGAAGGCTTGTGTCTGAGACTACCACAAAATGTCAGAACAGGCAAGGCATGTCTGGACGAATCGAGCTGACCGTACTTGAAGTTGGAGGAGGTCAAAAGCGGTCATGGGCGCGAGGATATCATACAGCCTTTGCTTGTCAGGCTTGAGCAGGAAGAATTCCCGCCAAAAGCCTTCGGAAGGAACAACATCATCACCGTCATCATTGGCAAGCACATTGAACAAGTGAAGATATAGTTGAACAATCTTGGGCTCGAATGAATCCGGCCTCAACAGCTGGGTCAAGGGCGAGTCCATGAGTTGCAAAGAGATCGACAGCCGTGAGCAACATGGACAACTGCGCTGGTTGCACTCATTATTGGGTCATTGCGACAAGAGGTACGACTGACAAATTGCTGCTTTCCTACACCCTGGTTTCCCCAAGTTGACTGGCAGCACGTAGTGATTTACGACACAGTGATAAAGGCCTGAAAAGGGGGTTGAATGCCATAAATGTTTGGCTGACGAGTCCCAGGAGATGGCCAACAAACAGTCCAGTTCCAGCCGCGCAATTTTCACAGCATGAGTTGGCTTTCTTGGCAGTGGAGATGCTTCTTCACTGTCAGCCATATGTCGTGGTCACTTCCAGCAGAATATTGGCCATGGAGATAGCAAGTTCAGGTTTGTCCGGGTGAGGCCAGTCAGTGAAACTGCTCAAGGCATCTGTCAATGGACTACTAAAAGACCAAATGTGAGCGAGTAGTATCAGTAGCAGCACGGTAGTGCATCAACTTCCAGCTTCATGGCCGAAGGTCGGTTCGACTGCGCACGTGATGGCCGTTACTAATGGACACCGTCAGCAGCCGAATGTTTGTTATGCCTCGGCTCCGATTGGCTCGCTCCATGGTCGGCTGACAAACGGCAAACCCTGCGACCTGGAGTCAGTCATTTGAACCCGTGCAATGCGCCTCTCTCAACACCTTGAGGACCATGACACAACCACCCTTCCATAAAACTATACCTTCTTCCACCAGATATTCTCCGCGCTTTACACTTTATAAACCTTCTCCCTTCTGATGAATTAGCCGAGCGACATCATATAACATATCCAGAATGTCAGCTTCACACTTGATGCCGACCACGACGTCATCCGCCGTCTTCTTCAGAGCACTGGCAATCGCCTCAAGCGCACGCTCTTGTCCTCATGCCTTCAGGACTTTCTCGTCGACGAAGGCCATAAGGGCGTCTTCAAAGCGCGAGCTATACACAGTTCCCTCCTATCAACCTCATACTCTCCCCACCGACTTCCCCTTGCCTCCCCGAAATACCAATATTCCAGACACTTCAATAGCTGGGCCAGAGCCTCGCCTCAGCAACTCAAGACCTCCACCCGCCCCTCAAGCAAGTGACAGCCAACCGGGACAAACCACCGAGACTGCCAGTATTAGTATGCCTGAAAGAGAAGCCCAGCAGCCCAGGCCCGTACAACAGCCAAAGGCCGAACCACAACCAAAGACCGAAGAAGCGAAATCGGCCAAACCCCGGCGAAGCAGGTTAAGACCTCGGAAGGCCGCGATGACCATATCGCCCAGCGCACTCGAACACCTGCGCGAGTTACTCGACCAACCCAATCCAAAGATGATCAGAGTGGGCGTTAAGAACAGAGGCTGCTCAGGACTCGCATACCATCTGGAATTCGTGGACAAACCAGGCCCGTTTGACGAGGTGGTCGAGCAGGATGGAGTCAAAGTGCTGATTGACAGTAAGGCTCTGTTCAGCATCATTGGCAGCGAAATGGACTGGAAAGAGGACAAACTCAGCGCTAGATTTGTTTTTAACAACCCCAACATTACAGAACAATGCGGCTGTGGCGAATCTTTCAGCGTTTCATAGACAAGCAAGGGGAGTCGAGAAAAGGCGTTCTAATGGCTATGGATTTGCAACGACTTGATGCCGGGTATCGTGGGTCTTATATGATAAGAAGGGGGCTATCGGGCTCTGAGCAGGATCACTGAAATACATTTCTTCTGGCTGAAACAATCTATTCGCTACCAGCGCAAGCTTCAATATACCCCTTTTTCATAATCGACCACTCTGACATCCTCAAATCTGGGGCTATTCTTCTTCACAAAGGCTTGATGAGCCGGATCATGGGCGACATAGTAGTCCCGATCTTGTTTGGAAGCAAATTCCACCACGAAACCATGGGTAAACCCTCCCTGCAAAGCTCACTCAACATACTGTACAATTGGAAAGATACACGTGAAATCGCCGTACCTGCGCACCCTCCGGGCTGTTATCGACGCCGCCTGACGCCGAGACGATATACGGGTTGTTGGAAGCTGGATGCAAGCATTTGTCTTTCAAAGAGAGCATATCATCGCAGAACTAACGTTCGGTCAGTCACCGGTAGAGTGTTGCGGACGTCGTACTAGTAGTGCAGGTATTCGTGTTAAACGTACCTCTTCCTTTTCCCAATCGCTCAACGAGGGCTTGAGTCTAAACAGAACGATATGTACGATTGACATTTTGATTGCGGGATAGAGAGACACAACCTTCCTTGCTGTCGTCTACAAAGAATGCTTTCAAGGTACTTCAGGTACACCGGTCAAATGTGTGGTGCGGATCAGTACATTATTGTTGTATTTACCTAGGTACTTTGTACGATGTATATGGAAACTCGGATTCCTTTACATCATACCATTTTGTCAGCAACTGAGATCACATCGGACCCCGAGCTGACCAAGTGGCCGGCGAGATGCCAGTGCTGGGTTGACCGATGAAACCTCCGGAGTGGTTGTAGTCAAGGCTGCCAGTGTGCGGGGACTTTCTTATGGGAAACTTTCACTTGCCTGCCCCTCCACTACTAAGTAGTACATGTACTACTGATATCAGATCCTTATCATGCTCGAGAGACTCAGACTGCACTTCTTGTAGATCGTAAACTCCATTCCTTCTCCCCGCTGATTTACACCGAGTGATCTACTGGAACAGCATACTAGCAGTGGCTATATAACTACGCTGGAGATACTCCTCTGCAACAACTACATCGTCTGATTTCTCTCAGTCTATCTTCTTTCGCAGCGACCACTTCGTCCCAAAAGCCCCGGTCGACCGTCCGTTTCGCCGAGCGATAAGACAAACATTTACACATTTGCTCCGTTCGATCGATACGGCCCATCATCCTCATCCAAAGCACACGCGCGCACAAGCAAAACTACACCTCTTACCATCTCTTCCTTCTCGCTTCCCTCTGTTCCTCTCTGCTCCGTCCTCCACCATGGCGACACACTCCCACGACGGAGGTGCATCTCATTCCCACGACCACGACCACCCCAACGGCGCAGCACCGCACGGACATTCACACGAGATACTAGAGGGACCAGGATCCTACATCCACAGAGAGATGCCACTAGTCGAGGGACGAGACTTCAAAGACCGAGCATTCACGATCGGAATCGGCGGGCCCGTGGGATCAGGCAAGACAGCGCTGATGCTAGAGCTGTGCCTTGCACTTCGAAAAGAGTACAACATTGCAGCAGTGACAAACGACATCTTCACACGCGAAGACGCCGAGTTTTTGACCAAAAACGGCGCCTTGACCCCTGACCGGATCGTGGCCATCGAAACAGGCGGATGCCCGCATGCCGCGGTGCGCGAAGACATTTCGGCCAACCTGCTCGCTTTGCAAGGGCTGCATGCGAAGTTCCAGACAGACTTGTTGCTGATCGAGTCGGGCGGCGATAACCTCGCTGCCAACTATAGTCGCGAGCTGGCCGATTTTATCATCTATGTAATTGATGTGGCCGGCGGCGACAAGGTGCCGCGCAAGGGCGGGCCCGGAATCACGGGTAGCGATCTGTTGGTTATCAATAAGTGCGATTTAGCCGATGCCGTCGGCGCAGACGTCGATCTGATGGAGATGGAAGCGAGGAAAATCCGTGAAGGAGGCCCTGTGATCAGGGGAGTTATCAAGAATGGTGTTGGTGTTAAAGAGACGGTTGATATGATTCTCTCCGCTTGGAAGAGTACGCTGGGATACGCCGAGAGTTTGAAACGGTGGGCGTCTGGCGCTTCGAGGGGGAGCGGCGAGCAGCCAAAGGTCATTCGGTATACGAAGGTCATGCCGGAGCACAAGGAGGGACAAATTGATCCTTTGTAGAAGGGATTGGACACCAAGGAAATGGGAGAATTGGTACTCAGGCGGAAGGATTTAGATTAAGTGGACACGAAAGAGATGATGAAAACTTTGGACCCAGGACCCAAAATGTTTAGTCGGCATGAGCGTGGGTGCTGGCATGGCCGGCACATTTGGATAGCATGTCTCACACTTTTATCATAGCGTTAGATAAGACACCTTCAAAACGGTTAGAGATGTCGGCTCCAGTCTACCAGGTCCCACGGACTCGAAACTCTTTAAACAACTCGGTGAAGACACAGCCGATTCCAAAAATCGACTGCGATATCACGCTCCTCTCCGTGCAAACCTCGCCAATGCAGGACCGAGTTCAACCTTGTCCCTCTTGAGCTTCTCCCTTTCTCTTTCAGCTCGCTCCTTTTTCATCTCCTCGAGCCGCAGCCTCTTCTCATCAATCACGTTCTTTCCGCCCTTCTTCCTCAAATATCTTCTTACTGTGCTGTTCTTCCCCCGACCACGCTTCCGCTCTTTGAGTTTCGCCAGAGGATCTACAGGCGGCGCATCCAAATCCTTCTCCCGCTTCCGCTGTTCTGCGCTACGCGTGTCCAATGTACCGATGAAGTGGGGATCAAGTGCGATAGTTTCGGGCTGCAGCTTCGTAAGCAGAGCCTGGACTTCTGCTTCTTGTCGCTGTTTGCGAGTCTCGTAGGGATTGACTTCGAGGGCGTCATAGTTGGGTTCGCCCGCGCCCGGGACAACGATGCTGCTGAACCCTTCCGAGTGTGAGATGCCAAGGATATCGTCAAACGGACAGAACCGCACACGCTCAACCCGACGTCCGTCGTTACCCCAGTTCAAGTAGGGCGATTGGACCTTGGCGGGCTCTGCGGAGGTGGATGTGGTGAAAAGATCTTTCCAGATAGTTACCCCAGTGCCGCTGCCGATGGCCGCCAAACCACGATCCGAGATCTCGATAGAAGATGCGGGCTGACGGGTGGTGTATGAGTGAACTTCTTTCAATGAGCGAATGTCCCAGAGTTTGAGACGGAGATCTTGACCTCCGCACAGCATGTAGTGCCCCGAGCGGTCGATGGCAATGGACCGAACAGGCCCAGCGTTGGTCTGCATCTTGACCAAAGGCGTCGTAGAGTTGGGAGACCACAGGGATACTGTTCCGTTTTGATGGCCCACGTGCAAAATTGCATTCCACGGGTTTTGGGCAAGAGCGGTAGGCGGTCCTTTCCGAGTTGGGTGCTCGGCCACTATATGCCCTGTCGAGGTGTCGGTGTATCTCAGGAACCCGCTCGTGTCGGCGCCCGCAAGAAGGAAGTGATAGGGTAGAAATTCGAGGTGCAGAGTCTCCACGTACTTTCTCAGACAATGGATCTCAACCCCGGCGTGGTCGTAAATGTAGGTATACTTCTTTTGAGCCACAGCAAAGTACTGGTCATTGTGCAGCCATTTGGCATCCCGGACCGTTTCATTGAGGTGTAACTCACAACCTGGCTTCCCTGCTCGCCATTCACATGTGGCGATGTGTCCTTTTCTTCCTGCTAGCAGTAAACTACGTCCATTTCTGGTGTAATCCGCCACGTATGGACCGAGATCGAGTTTGAAGTCGATGGCTTTGCTGGCCTGTTGGACACCGATTGCATCTAGAATGTCTTCTTGTCGGACTTTGTAGGTCTTTTCCAGTTCGTTTTCCGGTTGCAGGAAACCTTCCTGGTTCTCGTACAGAATCTCTGCATCCTTTGCGTTCAAAACCGCCGTTCGGTATTTGTTCTCAATTCTCTTGAGATTCGCACGCAGCTTCTTGTCTTTGACCTCGTTTACCCGAACGGGACGGCCTCTGCCATATTTTTTCCGTGCCTCTGCGACGTGCTTCTGGTTCTCTTTGTCTTCCACGGTCAATGCACTCGTAGGTTTCCGTTTCGTGGGAGGTTGCAGATTTTGAATTGTGAGTTGGCCATCGCCGTTCTCGATTAAAGTCTCCATTCTCACTGCTACTCGAGAAACTTGAGATCACATAAAGTGCGCAGCCAGAAAATGGTCGGCGCAACTGAAAGTGCTACAATTCTTCAAATGTTTCGGGCACCAAGTATTTCGGCGCAGTTAAACCAAGTCCTAAAATTTCCTGCCAAGGGCAGACAGAACACACAGCCAATCAAAATACCCATGGTGCATCTGCAGCCCGAATTGGTTAAAGCAAGTTCTAGTCCCCGTCATCCGGAAATGCGCTAGTCCAAGGCTCTCTAATGACTTCCAAAGTGCAATTCACTTCACACTGCAGCTCTCGTGCCAGACACTCTATTCCTATATGAGATGGAGAGTATCCTTCACCTCGTCCGCACTCAAGACCACCCAGTCAGCATCAGTATGCTCCTCAGCTTCTGGATCTTGCGGAGCACGGGATCTCGGTTCTTTATTCCCGCTCCCACGCTCCGGATATTTCTTGATATTTTCAATAGCCCACCTGGTTTCACGGTTCAGGATGGGTGGACACCTCCCCGTGCCTTCTAGTTTCGGCAGTCCGGCCATTTCAAAGAGCAGACGTAGCCATTGCATGGTCTCCCCGTTATCCCATGGTATGTCGTGGAACTTTCTTCTCTCTCGCCTGACCAACTCCGCGCGGTTCTCCTCCCAACGCCTTTGAACTTCTCGAGGCGGCAGCGGGATGGCATTTCTCCCGGCGAAGAGCCTCGCAAGAGCAATGGCTTGATACTCAAACGATCTGAATGTCAGAACACGAGGCATTCCCACGATACCCAGGGTAGGGAAATCCCGAAGGAAAGTATGCAGGTAATTTCCAATGAGCCTGTTTTCGCGATAATCGAAGAGAGGTCTGCCATTTGCCTGGCTGTTCCAGAATGGAAAGGAAGGGCGGTAACCGGTACAGTAGATGATAGCATCTACCGAAGATAGCACCGAGTCATCGTCAAAGACGACATCGCCGTTGTTCCTGTACTCTTTGATCACAGGTTTCCACTCTATGCCGTCTGGAGGCTCGTCGCCGTCCCATCGAGATCGAGACCGTCGTGATTGATAGACAGGAAGTCGAGCAACTTTCACAAGCGCGGTTGTGATATCGTGGCCGGACGCGGAGTTCCCAATCACGATGACTCGCGTACCTCGGTATGCCTCTGGGGTGCGGTATGTTTTCGAATGCGAAACTCTTCCGGGGAATGTTTTGAGATACTCCGACAAACCGGTGACTGGCGGTACCTGTCAGATGTCAGTTATGACAAGGTCATGCTTGCAAGCTTGTGGTGAGTGATTTACAAATGGTATCGAATAATGCCCGTTGGCAATGATTACCGAGTCGAAGACTTCCTCCCACCAGACGTCCGCTTGCTTCACGGTGTCATATTGCCGAAGGACAAGTTTCCACTTATCCAAGCCTGAGCTTGTCTTTGCAGGGAGACGGGATACATCTTCGACAGTGGTATTCAAAACCAGGTATGAATCGGTTCGATGGGACGAAAAATAACCTTCTATGTATTGCCTTGGTATCCAATGCGGCGTGAAAGGCCCATACGGAAACGGTATATCAGAGAAGGACATGGCGATGGCTGGAACATTCGTTCTGGAAGACGGTGAGGGCCCATGTTCTTTACCAGTCTTGCTAGGGCATTCAGTACTCACGTCAACTCATCATATATCGGAGTTTGTTCGTATCGCTCCTTTGGAGTTGGCGCAGTCGTCGTGGGCAACTGATCTGGGATCTTTAACGGACGATCAATATCCGGTGGCAAGGCTCCCGGCACGAGTTGGACATCTGTCTTAGGGTTTTTATCATAGATCCTACTCGCAGATCCAACCAGTTATGCGTTGTACGAAGCTGGAGAAGGGTGGATACTCCCATACCATGTCCCTCCCGCGCTGTGGCGCCTCTCAAAGACTCGTATCGTGTCAAAGCATTCCTCTGCCCCAAAGGCCGCTGCTGCTGCGGCTCCTTGTCGACGAATCTCCGGTGAGCCTTTCTTCTGAACCGCCTGATGTAGAGCAGAGCAAATTACCTGCCGCGCCGGCGCCGATAATGGCCACCGACTTGATTTGTCGGGCCTCCATTCTACCTGTCGCCTCCAGAACGATGATTACACAAATACATTAAAAAGCGAAAAACAATATATATATATATCTCTCTCTTCTAGGGTCTCTACTACCGGTAAACCATCGGATCACAGGGGATGGTAGACAACAGTGTGGTGGCTCACCATGGCATCAGATTGCGTGCTTCGGATCCTAGCCAAACAAAGCACGACTTCAACCAACCCCAGTGACCGCCTCTTCAATCATTACCCAGGCAGTATCGATCAAGTCATGTTACAGCCATGAAATATCATGCTCTTACACTGGCAGTGATGGTAAAAGATACCCAGGCTATGATCGCGGGCACCGGGATATCAGTCAGAATGCCACAACGCATCAGCCTCGGTGCAGGCCGCCACTGTCGTAGTAGCGTGTCTGCAACCCTTCTAAACGAGGTCAAGAGGTCCAAGTTGTAAGCCAGACACCTTTCTGAGTCAGACGGCGAACCCGGGGGCACATACAGTAACGCGGGAGTGCTTGGTCCAAACCAAAGCGGCGTTTGCTTCATACCTTTGGCTGGAACCGCAAGTGGCAGCTTATATTAGGCCTTTGGTTCGCGGATCCATCCAGGCAGCAGTGGAACCTCATCACCCTACCACTACTAGTAGGTTCCGATGGACTCACAGCCACCTCCAGCCTTTGGACCATCCCTTCCCACCTTTCGCTCCAGATTTTTGCATCTGAGCACCACTGCCTCTTCATCAGAAATAAATTTGTATGTCTCACCTGGAGAAAATGGGCTCCACGGGATGACCGTTCTCGGCGTGCACTTGTGTCGTCCTAACGCAGTGAGCGTGGGATGTGCCGCATATCCATGAGCGCTACGCTCGTCCTTCGTGTTTCATTCACTCCTGGCTCGCGTCTAGTCTTAACTGTGCCAAGTCTACGGTCTTCGGGCTAGTTATTGGCTCAACCCTCTCAGGTTCGGCGGCGTCAAGCATCATGCGCCTGTTGGTAGGTCGAGCAATGCCCTACGGTCTACCTGAGCCCGTTAACGCTTCCCAGCCGCCTAAGGGCCTATAGCTGCTCTTCTTACTGATGTCGTTCGATACATAAGGTCGGCGGCTTCTGATTTGGTCAGTCTCTGATTACTTCCTCCCCAGGGTTTTCCGTGACAATGCCACGTCCAGAAACCGCACGGCAGACTCACTCTGCCGAGCTGTCCCATAAAGGTATCCGCATTATACCGCTGCTGTACTTCGCTTTGCTACCTGACTCGCACAGAAAAAGACACGCGAGATATCGGGCAGGGAACACGGCAAAAGCCTCGTCGTCAAAGTAAACGGCTGAACGACCCTGCCGAATTCAACACTTCTCAACAAGAGGCCAACCGCGTGCCTCCTTATAGTCTAGTCAACGAGCTTGGGAGACAAAATGTAAGAAGCAGCAGTTATACTCATATAATGGAGACACTAATACAGTAAGCTCGAATGCACTTTGCCTGCCTTTCCTCACCCTAAGCCGCTGAAGCGAAAGCGGGAAACCGAGAAACTTCAACCAATTCTATCATTGCAGAAGCGACAGGAACCTTCTCCCTCCAGGGAAGTGGTTAAGCACCAGAACCCTATAGCCTATTGGGCGCGAACATATCATTGGCCTGATGGGTTTTACGGGGAACCCAGAATGAGTCATTTGTTTGCTAGAAAGAAATCGGAATGTTCCTTCGGCACCCGAGGAATCAGCACTTCAAGTGACCAGGGGCCCAGAGAAGATAAGAATGCGTCTTACCAAGATCCAAGCTATAGTTGGCTACTCGAAGCACAAGGGAGCTATATGGTCCGATCCGAATTGGGCATCACGAAAGAGAGCGAGTTGCTTTGCCGCAGCTTGTTTACAGCCAAACAGACCGTACCGAGGGAAACGATATTCTCCGATGGTGTCTTCGAAACAGCATTGGAGAAGCTCCAAGGCAAGGATGAAGCACGAGTCATCCAGGACATAGCGCGTCTGGTCGTTCCATCTGCTGAGACGCTTGCCTCATCCGGCGACAGACATCTTGACATATTGATCGAGAGCGTGAACGAGTGCTGGAGCGATTCTATTCCTCTCACCAAGCCCCGACCTCAACCAGATTATTCTGTGGGATTCAGATATTCCGCATTTCGGGATGATCAACTGAAGAAGCTCCAACCGTTTGTGGGGGAGCTAAGCGACCACTACGAGTCCTTCTTCATGGGTACCTGGTATATGTACTTCCCTTTCTTCTGCGCCGAGGTAACGTGCGGGGCCGTCTCACTGGATACAGCGGACAACCAAAACGCGCACAGTATGACCCTTGCCGTTCGCGGGATTGTAGAACTGTTTCGCTTGGTGAAAAGGGAGAAAGAGCTTCACCGCGAGATCCTCGCCTTTTCTATCTCGCATGATCACGATTCAGTGAGGATCTATGGACATTATCCCGTTATTGATGGCGAAAAAACTAGGTTCTATCGTCATCCCATTCACAAGTTCTGCTTGACTGCCCTGGGCGGTAGGGACAAGTGGACGGCTTACAAGTTCACTAAAAGTTTGTACGGTTCCTGGATGCCCATTCACTTCAAAAGACTATGCTCCGCGATCGATGACTTGCCCACCGACATCCATTTCGAGCTCTCGGGGGAGTCGAATTCGCACCCGGTTCCATCAGGGCTCTCGCAAACCATGGAGAGCCATGAGCCGCCGGCCTAGATGGTCTAGGTGAGAATGAGCTGGGGCCTGCAGAGTCCTCAAGCATGACGCCGGACACCTCAGTCACGCAACTGACCGGACGAGAGAGGTCTAAGAGACCGAAGAACAGCTGAGACAAGACGGTCAAATGTGGCAGCCGTCGCCGTGGGCATCGTCTGGAGGATTGCAAGTCAAAGGGTTCGGTATGTCGGGCATGGAAGCTGATGGTTCATTCCTGCATTGCTGATCATACAAGTTCATGGGGAGCATGTTTGGAAATTGTGGGATATGAGCTGCAAAGTTCAAGGGAGTCATGGAGTTATTTTCTTATGCGCGCATTTGTACCACCACAGTCTAGATTTTTTTTTTAAAATAAATGTCCATGCTGAAAACACCGAAACCCAGCCGGAGGGTAAGTCGAAGCGAGCAAACCCTCCCGCTGCCGCCGCCTCCGTCAACCCGAACACTTACTTATACGCCATGCATGGTATGGTGTGCTAGTTTGTATCGTCCCACCACCGCGCCAGGCTTATCAACAATGTCCACAAAAACCCTTCGAACCAAACCAGTGGTGTCGCAAGGCTTGAGACCCTTGATCCACAAATAAGATGGCCCGTGAATTAAGCAACCACGCGAAGCTTCGCAAGTCCAACGACCTTATCGCAGACTAATCGACCTCAACCAATCCCTTAACGTGTACTCTGATATAGCCGCACGCCATTCAAAATGCGCTCCGACCTTATCTGTCTTCAGTGGAACAAATGCCATCAAGCCTGCCGCTACATGCAAAGCTAATACACCTACAACTACTAATCCTTATGACTGATTGCCACAGTCACAATATGGTTTTCTCTTTTTTTCTGCTGTGGTGCCATATATTGAGGCCTCCTATTCACAAATGACGCGAGAAAAGGCTAATATTACGACTTACATTGGCTTCTAGATTCCATGCGTTGGGTTCCGGACCGCCGGATCTGTATTGATCGCGACATCGAGATATACTACACCGTTGGACATATATAGGGCTTTTGCATGCATATCAATCCGCACCGCTGGCGAAACGAGCAAAGAACAACAACAACCCAGCACTGTTGTTGCAAGTAACGGGTGTGCATACTTCGACCCTTCCCTTTCCCTTCCCAGGGCACCAAACATCCTGTCCATCCTATTACTACCAGCTCGCCACGCACAACAAGCGGTAAATCAAATTACTAGTGGTGGGCAAGCATGGCGTCCACAAAGGAAATCGAACCACGCATCACCGAAAAGCCGGAACCCCATATCTCGGAGCAGGACGCCGATGTGACTTATACTCTGCTCAAGAGCCACGGGCATGACTTCGCACAAGGTCTGGACGCTGCCGGGCAGAAGAGATTGAATAGAAAATTGTATTGGGGCCTAGTGCCGCTGTTGGTCGTCATCGACCTTGTTTTGTTTGTATGTGATTATCCCACCCGGCCCCTTGAAATCAAAATACCAGGAGATACCAAGAGAAAGCCCGTCACGCAGGAAAGAAAAGAAAAACAAAACCGAAAGACAAGCATGGTAAAGAACGGAAGTAGAGTTTTGCTGACCTCCAACCAACCAGATTGACAAAGCCACATTGTCGTACTCGTCCATCCTGGGCTTGTTCGAAGATACCAAGATTGGCAATGGCCAGTACAATAACCTCAACACGATTTTTTATGCCGGTAAGCAAGGAGATCGATTACCTTGTCCTGTTTGCAGATCGTCGAGACCAAACAATACCACTCCACACCCGCTGCGACACCCAAGCCAGCCTAGCTAGACATTGTTTTCTTGCTGACGATGATTTTTGTTGTCCACAGGGTACATCATCGGCCAGTTCCCAGGAAACTACCTCATGCAGCGTGTGCCCATGGGCAAATTTGTCAGCGGTACGATCATGCTGTGGTCGGTCATTGTCTTCCTCCACTGCACCGCGAGCAGTTATGGCGGGTTGATCCCGCTGCGGTTTTTCCTCGGTCTGGTCGAAGCCACGGTCCTTCCGGCGATTGAAATCACCATGGGCATGTTCTTCGTGCCGGAAGCGCAGGGCTTCTTGCAGCCTGTCTTCTACACTTCGTGCCTGGGCTCTCCGATCCCCGCCGGGTTCCTGGCGTACGGCCTGTTGTGGACCAACAATGCGGTGTCGCCGTGGAAGTTCTTCATGATCATCACGGGCGGCATGACTTCGATCCTCGCCATCCTGTCGTGGTTTTACTACCCCAACAATCCGGCCGAAGCGAGGTTCTTGACTCTGCAGGAGAAACTGTACCTGGTCAACAAGGTGCACGAGGCGACGCACAGCTCGATCGAGAACAAAAAGTTCAAAAAGAGTCAGTTGATCGAGTCGCTTCGGGATCCCATCTCCTGGTTGTTTGGGCTCCAGGCTTTCACGCTCATGCTCTCCAACAACATTGCGTACCAGTCGAACTTGTTGTATGTGTCGGTCGGCGTGTCAAATCTGGGCTCCACGCTCGTCAGTGCCGCTGGCGGTGGATTCTCGGTCATATGCTGCATCCTGGCCACTCTCCTTCTCCGCTATGTCCCATGGCGCAAGGCCTACTGGGCCGCCTTCTGGTGTCTACCGCCCATCGCAGGTGGTATCGGTATGGTGGCTCTTGACTGGGACAAGAAGATCTCCCTGCTTGCGTGTTTGGTCCTCGCCGGCGCCACCTTTGGTATCACCTATATTATCGCCCTCGGATGGACCACGTCCACCGCCGCCGGATACACCAAGAAATTAAGCCGAAATGTCTTTTTCATGGCCGGTTACGGCATCGCCAATCTGGTCTCTCCCCAGCTCTGGGTGCCCAAGGATGCCCCGCGATACTATCCGGCTTGGATCATTCAGATTGTCATCAGCTGGGTGGGGACCCCAGTCATCTTGATCATCATAAACTTCATCCTGGCCCGCAGGAATAAGGAACGATATGCCTGGATCGCCGAGCAAGAGGCCGCTGGAAAGTCGAGAACCGGCGTCATCGAGAGGATCGACGCCGACGGTAAGAGGGTCGAGGTCGAGGTCGACATTGCCCTGCTCGATTTGACCGATTTGGAGAACAAGTACTTCATTTATCCTCTGTAGACACCCGTACGGGGTGCTAACAATCGTTGTCATGTCCTGCCAGACTGATTGGTAGATGATTGGACCGAAAAACCGCCATTTTGTGATATATGAATAAAGGAAAAAGTACAGGCAGTTTTGATAGAAGATATCCGAAATTGTATTATGTCTGCCCTTTGAGGCAGTACCCGTGGACTGGTACGGAGCAAAAGCAGGTCAAGGGAAGCAGTGGAAAAGCAACACGATATGGAAGCGGTCTCGTGAGCGATCAAAGAAATGTGGAGTTCTCCTCAAACTCTCTCTCCTCTCCAATCATAGGTGGTCTGACGCCCTTGTCGAGGAGGTATCGGGTAATGTCAGGTCGGCGCCTGCGAAGTGAGATATTGAGGGCCCGGAACCCCCAAGTTCCAGCATTGGGATCCAACCCGTGAGCGAAGAAACACTGCATGCACAGCAGGCATGTTTCTGACGTGTACACAATAGACCCCAGCATGATGACAAGGATCGATCCGGCACGGGCATGGCCATATTCGTCAATGCTCGTGGCGCGGCTGAGCAACACGTCCAACGCATAGACGTGACCACCACGACATGCTTCGGCAATCGCATCGTGATCTTGGCAATACTTCGTCCGGGCGCCATGAGCAATGAGAGTGGCCGCGATCTTTTCGTCGCCACGAGCGGATGCCTGAACCAGGGGGGTCTGATGCTGTGGGATAGTATAATTCACGTCAAAGCCAAGTTGAATGGCCAGTCGGACAAGGCCGTCAGTGTGGTTCCTGATGGAGCGATTGACCAAGAAGTGCAGCAAAGGCTCACGCAAGTCGGGGAAGGCACCATCGATCAACGCAGCGACAATGAGTCGACATGTCTTGAGGCGCCTGTTGAGGTGGGGGTCATAGTCTCCAGATGCCTGCACTTCCAGGGCCTTGTATTTCTCCACCATGAGCTTGATGGACTTTTCATACTCCTCGGTGAATGACTCGATGCAATACTGCGGCTCGAGCACTAGCTGGACCATATCCAGGTCTTCGCCACGACATGCCTCGTCAAGGACCATGCTGTAGCCCATGTAAGGGTCATAATAGGTTGGATACGCATTGACATCGGCACCACTGGCGAGAAGCAGCCGTGCCATTTCCTGCTTCCTCGCCTTGATCGCGAGGCGCAGGGGGTCAGAGAGATGGAACGTCCTCATATGATTTGCCGGTAGTTGATCCAGCAGTGTCTCAACTGTGGCTCTGTCGTTCAGGTAGATCGCGGTCATGATTGCCCAGCACTCTGGCGATGCCTGATTGTTGAACAACGTCAGTTCGAACAACGACAACATGTTGATTTCATCAGCGAAAAAATTCAGGACAGTCAAGGTGACCAGGGTCAGGATGTGGTCTTTTTTGCTCTTGTCCACGAGTTGACTGGGGAATTCCAGCACGCCCTCAGGTCTGTCCCGCCACGTGGGTACCTCCCACCGGAATCCTTCAACGGCATCCAGGACATCCACGGCGCCCTCAAGGTTGACATAGAGTGGATGCTTGGGCCGCAGAGACCTGATCTGGCCCTTGAGATATCTGTACAGATGTTGGCCTCGCATGGCATGACTGCTCCATGACGAGCGCGGTTCTTCGTTGATGGGAATGGACAATCGATCAAAATAGGCAGCTTGGACATGATGATCGAAGAATTCTGTCGAAAATGCAGTTTGTTACCCAAAGGGAAGGGAGACCGCCCCGGAGAGTGTAAGGGCCATCTCTCCAATCGACTTACTGTTGACTTTGCGCAATTCCAGTCCTTCGGACCAAGTTGAGGCGGTCAATACATCATCAATGACTGTGGTGAACACATCAAGGGGCACGTTTTCAATCGACATGGTTGCAGCCTGACTGGGCGAAACCCGGCTGTAATGTAGCTGGGCTTCAAGAGGGGCAGAGGATGGCTATGCAGTTATGGTGGAGCGGACCCAAGAAGAGGATGGATGGAGTACTATAGTAGAGTTCGGTTCAGATGGCGATGAGCACCAGAGCCGAGTGGATATCTTGAAGGTGGTGCCGTCAACGGTCAAGCGAGAGCTAGCTGAGAGCTTCGGGGGAATAACCTCATAAATACTGGGGCTGGTGCGAGATTGGCGGGACTTGGCGAGACTTGGCGAGCTATTCTCAATAAAGAGAGTGCCCAATCATGCATGTCGACGGCACCTTCAGCCTTACCCCTCCAGCTGCCCCTCTCAGATGGCAACAAGGCTGACTGCTTCCAACCTCAGCTCCCAGCAAAGCAGTAAGGAGAGCATCGGTGCGGTGCCCTTCAATCTTTGATGCTTTACCGACCATGAGATATCTTGCTGACTGAAGTTCCGCCATCAAGCATAGGAGGGTTTATGCCGTTCTGAGCCCCTGACAACTCGGGTCCGCAGCGGTAGAGTTTCAGATCGCGGGTTTCCGCAGGACAAACATGCAGCTGAGATGTCCTGAGAGACTTCGAGGCTGAACACAGATAGATAAACTCAGTCAGGAATGATTACAAACCTTGTACATGAAGATTATTGGCTGCACAAGTGGCCCAGAAATCAAAAAGAGCTTTCCTTTGCAAGCCAGCTACCAGGTGAGGATGATATACAACTATGGTTCCCCTGACACAACACCGATCACGGCCCACGCTCATACCACTTCCCCCACAAATCCAAAGATCGTTTCGCCAAACAGGCCCAATTACTATTAGGCTCGCGCCCTGTGGCACGGCGATCCTCTTTGAAATGCGGAGTTTTAGTGCTGGAGTTCTCCGCGCAGATGCCCTCGGAACCCCTCATGGCCTTCGGGAGGAAATATGAACACACATCCTACACAAGGTTGCGATTCAGAACCATTGCTCTTCATGCGGCGGTAGATACAATATAACACGATGGCGACACTTAACGGGAAGGTAATTGCCATTACCGGTGCGGCGTCCGGGATTGGACGTGCCACCGCGAGGGAATGCGCAGCGCGAGGAGCATCGCTCTCTCTATGCGACATCAACGACGAAGAACTCCATAAAGTCGTCAAGGAGCTAACGGCAAACTACGGCAGCGTCGTCATTGGTCACCGAGTCGATGTGTCCAGTTCAGACAGCGTGGACGCATGGATTGGCGAAACCATGAGATATTTCGGCAGGTTGGACGGAGCAGCCAACGTTGCTGGTGTCGAGCACAATGTGGGAGGCAAAGTGTTTGCAAATATCACCGACATTACCAACGACCACTGGCACTTCATCCTGGGCATCAACTTGACTGGGCTCTTCTATTGTCTTCGAGCTCAACTCCGGGTGATGGAAAAGGGGGCCGCAATCATGAATGTTGCGAGCATGGCGGGATTGATGGGACGACCTGGCATTGCCGCCTATAGCACGAGCAAACACGGCGTCATAGGCCTTACCAGGACGGCGGCCAAGGAAGTCGGTGGCAGAGGCATCCGCGTCAATGCCCTTGCACCGTAGGTGTTTTGAGCATCTCCGGTTGACCAGGAGCGACTAATGTTTTAATAGTGGCCCCGTGGATACTCCCATGATGGACAGAATTGTGGCTGATGGCGGACAGAATATACCTGTCACGCAGACGTACAAGACTATACCATTGCAACGACTCGGTACGTCTGAAGATATGGCCAAAACGATTTGCTTTGCTCTCAGCGATGATGCAAGTTACACCACTGGAGCAATATTTTCGGTAGACGGCGGCGTGGTTTGTTGAGAGGACTTCAGAATGGAAGTTGCTGGACCATTGGACTTTGTTCTCATCCATAGCTCGCCCCACAGTCACAGTCACGATACCGATGAATGTGATGCGAAGTTCTTGATCACGATCTGCCTGTTATTCGTGGTTGATGTGTACTGCTCCAACAGGAGGCCTTCAAAGATGTTTCATGATTCCAATGGCGCAAATTCCTGCTTGATGCTGTCCTGCTAGCGAACTACACTGTAGAGGACCCTTCTGTCGAGCGGAGCAACCAGGGAGTGATATGCACCACCGTAGCAGTAGTACAGCACGGTCTCAGACCCAGGCCTCAAGGGCGTGGCTTGCCGTCATGTCGAGCACCACTCTGGTACAACACACGATGCATGCTTGAACGGTCCAGGTATGTTTACAAGTCTGCACGTTGAGATGCGACACATCATGAGGTGAAGAAAGACCGTGTCTAGCATACCTAGGTTGTTACCGAGCAGTCAGCTAAACGTTCGGCAATTCCGTGGTTGTGGTGTTTCATTATCCGAGGCTATCTAACCAAGGTCTCACCCCGTGGAGACCACCGCTTCCCACAACAGTAGCCGGCGCTTTCACTTGCAGCCATCATTACACTGAACATTCGACCAGAATGCTCTCTCGACCTGGTTGCTGTGAGTTGGGGCGCACGTGATACTGATTCGTGACCTCTTTCTACTTTGAAGTCCTTGCCAGTTTCATCAAATCGCCTCTGGAGTTCGACTTGTTGCGCGATGGCTTCCAACAAGCCGGCGTCTGCTGCAGCTGCAGAAGGCCCAACCTCAACGGCGGCAGAACGCCTGTCACAAGTTGCCGGGCATGTTGCCGGAAGTCAGGACGAGTCAGGCAACACAGGGCGGAAAGGGCGTCGTTCAAAGACCTCAAAAGCTGCTGGCCCACCAGCCGATTATTCAGATGTGCTGGGGAATCTGCAGAAGCTACGTACCATTGCACATACGCCCGATCTCAACAACAGAGGATATATCAGGCAGAAACGAGACGGGAAACTATGGGTCCGGGAACGGTTTGACCAGCTTCTGGACGAGGACTCGTTCAAGGAAATCGGCAGTGCCACCGGGTTCGTCGAGTGGAAGCAGACTGGTCCGAGGGACGAGGAACCAGTGTCATTTACGCCGACCAACAACCTCCAAGGTGGGTGGCGATCCTAGATATCTCTCAGCGGTCTTTGGCAATGAACTCGCCCACTGCCCATCTGGGAAGAACTATAACCGAGCATACACTGACGTGATTGAATCTCCAGGGTTTGGGCTATTGGGAGGCCGGAAAATCATCTTGACTGCTGACGACTACTCAATTCGAGCTGGACATGCCGATGGGGCCATTTCGGAAAAGACAGTAAGTTATGACTTCGCAGCACCATGATGCTTGGAAAATTTCCGCAGCCCTTGTTCTGTCTACCTTGGCCACTGGCGGACTGTAAGCATCATGGGGTCAGGCTGACATGCATCCACCTCAAGGTATACACGGAGAAGCTTGCCGTGGCCTTAAAACTGCCCATCATCAAGCTCACTGACGGATCTTCCGGAGGTGGCTCTGTCACCAGCATCAAGAAAATGGGGTGGTCATATGTCCCCGGCGTGCCGGGCTTCATTGAAGCCATCAAAGGCCTCAACATGGGCATTCCCAACCTGGCGGCGGTCCTCGGCCCAGCAGTAAGTTTTCGACGTCAACTCACTTGCCGTAATACGATGGGCTAACTGACTCGCAGATCGGTATCGGTGCAGCTCGTGCCGTGTCTTGTCATTTCTCAGTGATGGCGGGCGATATAGGAAGTCTGTTCAACGCCGGGCCGCAAGTGGTAGAACTGGCGACCTTTGAAGAAGGACTGAGCCTACGCGACCTCGGCGGTCCTGGCATTCATTGCACCAACGGTACAATCGACAACCTGGCAGCCAACGAAGCAGAGTGCTTCGAGCAGATCAGAACAGTGCTCTCGTACCTGCCAGATTGTGGGCAGTCGAAGCTCCCGCCCGTCATTGACAGCAGCGACCCGATCTCCAGAGTCAACGAGGAGCTAAGAACAATCATCCCTCGGAAGAAGACGCGCATGTATGACGCCAAGGCCATTATCCGGATCGTCTGTGACGCCGGCTCGTGGTTCGAGATTGGCGCTCTCTGGGGACGGACGGCCATCGTCGGACTCGCCAGACTCGGCGGACGCCCTGTGGGCATTATTTCTCTGAACTGTGAAGTCAACGCGGGCGCCATCGACAGTGCGGGAGCCCAAAAGATCACCCGTCATCTGAAATTGTGCGATGTCATGAATCTCCCAATCATCCAGTTTGTCGATGTGCCTGGCTATGCTATTGGAACTGTGGCTGAGAAAACAGGTATGCTCGCCGAGTACTTTCTCTATCTCCTTTTGCACTTTTGGGCGGCTGTCTAACTAACTACCCTGCTCAAAACAGCAACCATGCGTTGGGGCGTCGAGCTTGCAAAGGCATATCTGTCGACGACGGTTCCGCTATTCAACGTCCTGACTCGTCGTGTGTACGGCGTTGCCGGCGGCGTGATGGTTGCGTGTCGCGATCCTATGATGCGCGTGGCCTGGCCCAGTGGCGAATGGGGCAGTCTGCCGCTCGATGGCGGCATCGAGGTTGGCCACAGGTGGCAGCTGAAGCAGGCCGAGGCCGAGGGTAAGAAACAGGAGCTGTACAACCAGCTTGAGGATGAGTATCGCCGCTTGATGAACCCCATCCGCACGGCCAATTCGTTCGGCGTCGAGGAGATCATCGACCCGGCCCATACCCGGAGGGTTGTTGCCGAGTGGACAATCCATGTGTACGTTTGAAGCCACCATCCACCCTCCACCCTCTCTTCTTACTGCCATTGGGACACGGATGTACTGACATAACATCCGGGTTTACCCAATCTTTAGTTATTCCAATGTGCTGCCACAACGCATCCTCGACCGAGCCGCAGGGCGGATCCATCCCACGTTTGCTTAGGTCCAGCACAAATTGTTGTTGAGGCAGATGCTGGCGGCTGCTACTATAGCATTTCTGCAGCCCTACCGGTCTCGACCAGTGCGGTAATGGTCCAGTTCAAAAAGCCTACTCCAATTGAAAAAGGAGTGCCAGGCGCCTTTCAACCTGGGTTATTCTTCGGAACACCGAGCTACAAGTGCAAGAATATAGGCTATATACGCCCCAGCTAGAAGAGTGGACGTACCTCAATCCTCCTGCCATATTCTCCTTCCCTTTGGATTTTCTTCGCCTTTTCTTTCTCGTTTGCCTTCTTTCCGGTGCCTTCCTGCTATTGCCTCCTCAGCCGGCAAGAAGCAAACGGCATAGTTGTTCGAAACGCCGAACAGAAGACATCCGCAGCACGCACTTAGTCACATGCGCTACCATGAAGGCCGCCTCTTGGTTTATTTCTGTCTAGTGGACGTGCTCCGCTGAGCAGCCGTACATACGCCGGGGGCATGACCATCACTCTGACACTTATCCAGGTCCGAGACCAACTCCCCAATCAATCAATCTTGGATGATCCGGGCCAGTGTTTGACATTGTGCTGGCGGGGGCCGAGGATTCTTGAAGGCCCGGCCGACGCAAACCATAATCAAGCCGAACTTTTTACCTTCTTCATGTGACTCTGGGGCTGGCAGCCGGACATTTCCTCCTCGAATCAGCAGCTGGGCATGCAGAGAGCAGGCAGGCTCATTGAATTCGAATTCTGTGCTCTCAAAAGGGCATTCTATTCGCGCACAGTTCGAGGCTCTTTCTTGTCGTTCAGGTTGCCGACATGAGGGTCCAGAGCGGCGCCCAGACCATGCGCGACTTTCTGCCAGTGCAGTGATCGACGGATTGCGGAGACGAGACAGTAAGTGTCATTACCCCGGACTGGACTAGGAGTAGAAGCGACAGGAGTTCTGACACATGAGGTGGTGTGTGGTGCTTTTTCCTCCTGAAACGTATCAAGGAACAAGACGCTTTGAAGGTGGGACAGGGACATGAACTTTGCATAAGATATGTTTCCACTGAATAGGATACTTTTTGTGCCATTTCTGACGGAGAGGAGAAGAGAATAAAAGAGACGTGTTCTAGATGCCACTGCAGATGTCAGCAGTAATTAGGCTTTCTCAGCGGGTGCCAGTGGCTTTGCGCGGCATTTTTGACGTGCCACCCTGCAGGGGCTAGTTCTACCGCAACGTCAATCACTGATGAACGCTGGAAAGTTGCCGGAATGAAGGTTTGACTTATGTATAACATAGTACGTTGTAGACGTGGAGAGGGAGTCTGGCACTACACTGGCGGATAAACATGGAGAAACTGGCACATGCCACACAACCAGCGCGGAGGGACGATTCGAAAGCATCACAGTACCTACCAGGCACTTACTACGCATAACACGAGGCTGCGTCCATGCTCGATCTCAAGACAGATGGCCATACTCCCATCCATTCGAACGCTACTGTAAATTGATAGATATCTGCGAGGTAGGCTTTTTCGTCGGCCGCCAAAAGATAGTCTTTGCAAGTAAGTACTGCAAAATCAGCCGCGTCAGCTCACGTTACTGTGTTGCACTGCTACTGCTTGACACATGAGGACCTTCTGCAGCAATAGTAGGCACTCGCCGACCACTCGACAGATACCTCAACCCGATCGATGCCAGACGCCAAAAAAAAACGGTTATGTCTTTGAACTCTCTGGCATGCGCTCATGACGCGAGGATGTCATCAAGGGTACGATATTCGTCCAATGTTCTCACTTCCGCCTGCTGCAATTTGATACGGACAAATTCCTCCCGAGAGTTGCGTTCCTCCAAGCTCAATAACTCGATCCGCTCCTCGATGGAGGTGAATTTCCCAAAATATTCGGAGTCGATGAAGCGCCAGTAAATGTCGTCGAAGGCAAAGCTCGAAGTGGCTGCTAGACAGAACCAAAAGGTTCCATTTTGCATCGATCGTGCCATTTCATCAGACAGACGTTGAGATTCGGAGAGTCTTCCACCCCGAATCTCCTCATCTTCGGTCTCTTTCAAGGCCCGCAAAAAAGTCTCGTGTCGAGGGAGATATTGAGCCAAAAAACTGTCCAGACTATCTTCCCAGTCATCTGGATGGGCCAAAAGAAGCCACCATGGCGAACAGTATGTAAACTCGGCAGGAGCAGCATAGGAAAATTCCCAATCAATCACGCAACGGAGGCTCATTTTTTCATCCACAATTACGTTCGAGGGACGGAGGTCATCGCAGATCAATCGGAAAGGGCCCTTGTTGTGAACTTTGGAAAAACTCTTTGCAATCCTCAGGAATAAGTATCGCGCGACGTATTTCCTTTGACAGTCGGCCTCACTTTCAACTGCGTCGTTGCGCTGTGTTCGAAGATGAGTTAGGTGATTCTTGGCTAATGCCGTGAAATAGTCGGTAGCTGTTGCAAATGTGTCTGCCGGTAGGTCCGCGGGAGGGAAGTTGGCAAGAGAAACCAATTGGTTCGCATTTAGAGTCATTGGTCGTTTTGTGACGCACCAATGGCCTAACCGGTCCCGAGACAACCCGCCTATGCTAGGGAACTCGCATTGGGACAGCTGAATCAATATCCTAGACATGATCTGGTAGGCCTGCGTCAATGTTTGGGGGTCGATGTTCGGATCCAGTATCTCGACTTTTCCCGACTCTCTAGGGACTTTGAGATAGTCGGACAGCAACTTTCCTTCAACGAGCTCCATGACCATGCAGGGACCCCAGGAAGAATCGGAGATTCTGATCAACCGTGGTGTAGGAATTGATGTATGCTTCGAGACATACTTCATGACGATTACCTCGTCGATGACCTTTTCCTTGCGAAATGCAACTTTGCCCAGAATTGGAAACCGAAAGATTGTATTGAGCTTTTCTTTTATTCTCACTTCATAACAACGATTGAATGCGCCTTGCGAGTGAAACGAGGTGCTAGCCGTTAATCCATACTGTGCTGCCAGCTCGTCTGCGTACTGTGCTATGTGGGAATCCAGCTGTCTCCCCCAGACAATGCACATAGTATCGACTTTTCTGCAAGCCTCGCCATCATGATACATTGGTTGAAATGGAAAAAAGCCGTCAACTGAATAGGGGCGTTCGGTCAAGTGTGTAAGAGTCAAAAATTATGGGTTGTCAAGTAGATCGCTTCGGTGGGACTGATCATAATGTAAACCTGTTGGCAAGGGACCGAAAGTAGCTTTGATACAGCATGGAATCTGCCAAGCATCTCCCGTATTGTTTCGTATCTGAACATTAAAATTGGCAGGGCTCTCAAGAAGGAGTTTCAGGAAGTCCTCCAAGTTCAAGAGATCCGTGTCAACCTTAGTCCGCAAGAGAAGGAAAATATGGCTCGCATGACGAACCTCAGTCACGGTAGGCGCTCAAAGAATATCTAGGCCAGCAAGGGGTTAATGATAGGTATGGTCTATTGTTGTCGGAATGCTGCTCAAAACGGTCGCTGCCAGGGCGAAGTCCTTGAAGGAAATCAAATTGGGGGTACCTTAGTCCAAGTTAGAGAATCTCCTTGATTGCGTAAGTCAACCCACAGTCTGACAGAGCTTTTTATTAAACGCATTGAACTCCCATTGAACTCCAACTTTCGCAACCACGCGGATCTATTGCTGCAGGACGCTTTGTCAGAACTGAATTCATTACATGTTTTATCCTGGTTCATTAGCTGTCTTCTGGAAGGATCTCTGGATGAGCAATTGCACCTGTAGTTGCAAGAATCTCCGCCTCACATCGTCGAAGCTGTTAACGAGAGCATCTCATCTCGGAGGTGTCTCTTCAATCTCATCCAACTGCAACACGATTCTTGCAGGGTGACATTGACCGGGAAACGAGATGGGGGACGCAATCGTAGTGCTAACTAAGACGGCATTTTAGATACAGCTTCCGGCGCACTGCAGTCCAGGGAGATCATGATGCTGATGATGATGGCTCCATAGTGTCGATCCCTGGCTCTGGAAGAGTGTCAGCATTGACCTTTTCTGGATTTGGTCGCTCGCATACACGATAACAGCTACTAGTGGTACACGCTCGGTGTTGTTGTGCGGAAACTTGAATGTCAAAACAAACGGGGCCGACTGCTCCCAACTGCATCATGATATGCACTGGCACTGCAGACAGCTGAGGGCCGAGCGCGCCCCCATGTCCCGCCCTGCTTGCCATGCCCTGTCAGCATACGCGCGCACGTCTCAAGTCGCTTGTTTTTAGTGTTCGATTTTCGACAGCAAGCGCAGGGAATCCTCGTCAGGCCATATTAGAAAATGCGGGTTTCGATCTCAGCCTGTCTTCTCCTGGCAGTGACAGGCGACTTTCGGTCCAGCAGCAGCCAGTCAGACTCAGCCAGTCTGCGGCGAAGTGACACGACCTCGATCACGCAACGTAGCCATGTACAATGTTGTACTGTAGCGATCCCGGCAGAATAAGGTAGTTCTACCAGTGTGAGACACTAGTCGCACGGAGAGGCAAGGCTTCCCCTGCTCAACAGTGATAAACGGACAGAAGCAGAAGCTTCGGATATCTGAAACAGGTTGTTGATGGAAGTTCAACGGGAGACGTTCCCGGTCTGTTGACAATCGATCAAGTCATGCATGAACAGAACCATCACCATCTCACCCTACTACTGCATCTCTCAATGATCAGAATGACTGTTGAACCCCCCGTTCGATTGGAAAGTCGATCGGAGTCACCTCTTCGGATGATGGCGGAACCCCATCTTGTTTATTTTGTTTGATTGTGTAGAGCACTGGACTGTTTGAGAAGGCAGCCTGCAGCTACAGTACTACCTACTAGTACTCACTGTCAGCAGCAGCAGCAGCAGCAGCATTCGTGAGCCAACTTGCATTTAGGTACCTGTACAGTAGCAACGGCAGCACGTGGATAGGTCGTAAATGGTGTAGAGTACACGGGACCTCAGCCTTCCGTGATGAGGGTGCTGCGAACGCGCTGGGTCCTCTGCGACCAACAGAATGTCGATCGATACACAATATCGGTGGCCCCTGAGGAAGACGAAGAAGACACTTACCGCTCGGGTTGGGAGTGGTCTGGTCCATGTCAACATCGTATCCGAGAGCTAGGGCCAGCCTACCTCCATCATGATTGCATTGAAGCCGACAGAGAGGCTTGTCCCTGGCAGCCTGAAGCCCAAACCAGAATCTAGTGATTTTCTTTCGGAAAGCTAGATGCAAGGGGTCCGAATTCAGATTTGATCTGTGCAGTAATAGGGTCGAGTAGTACAAAGTGGGCCACTACGGACAAGGCCGAGAAGTCTCGCAAGCTGAGTTGTGGGTCCGTCTGGGGCAGTCTTTCAGCTGTGTCCCTCAACATCCACGGCAGGGACCCTTCATATTACGCTTTAGTCCTTTTGCAAGGCCTACCCTAGCCCTCTGGCGACGCCTTGGCCGGCAATGGGTTGAATGACACAGCCGTGGGGCGTCGGCTAGCCTTGTCCACGAGCACTTTTGTGGGCAGTACCTCGCTCGCTTTGAGACGGCTACTAGAAGGTTCAGTTTCCAGAGGGAAAACAGGCAGGGTCCATGCTGCTGGCACCCGGTCGCCGTAGCTTCAAGCTTGGGGGACATGGAGGCCGGCGGTGGACCTGGAGAGTTAAAATGATAACAGTAAAGGCAAACATGGCATGGGGCCGTGCCGAATCAGCTCAATCTACATAAATCCGCCCAGATTCTCTCAACTGCATATCATTATTGCCATTGCCTGGACGTTCCTCGAAATGAGAAGACGCCAGCCACTGAGCATAAGAATTTATTTCCTCCATCAAAGGCAAACCCCCAAGCATGACAGCCGTACCGGTCATCGTGGAGCCTACTGCACCCAACACATTACCAACGGCACGGCCGCAGTCGAGACCAGGTCTGCAGACGAGATACTCGCACCTCTTGTACCTCTCTGAAGCAGAACGACATGCCTACCAAGCCAGCATGGAGCGCAGTTCTCCAATCCATTCTCTGCGGTCCGTCCGATCCGAAGGTTCTTCGCTTTCTGCCTCCTCCAAGTCATCCGCAACGACCACTGCCACGTCCATTCTGTGCATGGGCTTCCAGACCGTGTCTCGCTTCGTTGATGACCACTACCCGCTCATAACCACAATCCACCCAGAGACAGTACCGGCGTCAGTGCCGAAAAACCACAGTGCTCTTTGGTGCGCTCGGCAAATGGCGCAGATGCACAATACCATCATTCGAGCCTTGAACGCTTCTTGGAACCATGCCGTGTATGTCCAGCCTAATACACAAGAAGCCAGCGATTTTCTCCTCTTCAACCGACAGCTCTGCAAAACTCTTGACCAACATCATCGAGTCGAGGACCATTATCTATTCCCGCAGATCCACAAACTGCAAGGCCGACCTGGAGCCGTGGAGGAAAACTCAAAAGGCCATGAATCCTTTACCGAGGGTCTGGCCATTTTCCAGAATTACCTCGCCATAACCAAGCCGTCCGAATATCGTGGCCCTACCTTTCGCCACATTCTCGAGTCGTTCGCTCCGGATCTCATCCAGCACTTGCATGACGAGATCGCTACCATAGTCAGTCTGTATGTGCTCGATTCTCGTGCCCTTATGAAGATCTGGAAACGTGCCGAGCGTCTAGCTACCAAGGACCTAGACCTATATGATGATGCGCCCTGGTTCCTGGGCTGCCAGGACAGGACTTTTACCATCGATGGCGTCAAGGGGGACTTTCCGGGAGGTCCCTGGATCATCGAGGCCCTTGTTCGAAAATGGCATTTCAGAAAACATGCCGGCGCTTGGAAGTTCTGTCCTAGCGACCTCTCCGGGCGAAGGCGACAACTGGCCGTCGCTTGAAGACGTGTTGCAATGATGTCATGAGATTTATGAGCCTCTGATGTTGGTATTGATTATAGCGTTTTAGCAATATCTTTCTTTTGTGAGCGAGGCAAGCGGTCGCATTGGGGTTATTCGGTTCTCGTCCGGTATGTATTATCAATTCCGAGTCTAGATTTATCATCTCAAGGTGCGATTTCCTTCTTCTTGAGCAGTTCGGGAAAAAGCCCGAGCAACTCCCTGAGATGGCTGATTTGATATTTGCACGCTTTCACTGGAGGATCGGGGACTCCCGGTTCGACCAGGTGCACCGTGTTAGCCCATCCTCGAGCATACGCCGCTTGACAGTTCGAGTAAGCATCGTCCACATAATATATAGCAGTGTCTTGTGTGGCCCCGGCTTCTCGTTCGGCCTTCGCGTACATCTCTGGATGTGGCTTGGGAACCAGTCGCTCCGCCGAGTAGTCGCAGTAAGTGATGCCCTCGAAAAGGTCCTCAATTTCCAACAGTTTGACCACACGCCGGCCATGCGTGATGTGAGCATTGGTCAGCAACCACATCTTGACCTTGGACTTGTCAAACGTTTCCAATATTTGTCGGATCTCCGGATCCGGCGAGAGAAGTTCGTCCAGGGGCAATGCATCGTCCACTTTGCGGTTGAAATCCATTGCGTCGATCTTGTGATGCCGCACCAGCCCTTCTATGGCCAGGCCATAATCCTTGTGATACTGTTGGCTGAGGCGCTCCGCGTCTTCGGCACTGAGGTCGAGATGCTTAACGAAGTACTCATTTATCAACCTCTCCATGTAGTCGTGGACATTCCGGCTTTTGGCGTAAAGACAATTGTCAATGTCGAAGAAGAAAACGGCTCGCTTGTCCGGGGACAAGCTCTCCACGGAGCCCATTGACGAGAAGGAACAGGTCAGTCGGATGGCCGCACTTCGGAAAGCGACAGGTCCGTCGATTAACGTCAACCACTGGCAGCGATCGTATCTATGCGAGCAGTTCCCAATGCTTTGAACGATACGGGATACAGCCGCCTTATTATATAGCCTGGACATTGATGACTCGACGACATCATTTATGGAGCAAATGGTGCCAGCGACGTCAAAGATGGATCCGCGTCCCGACAAAAACAATGGACGGTCACGTGAAAGCAATCACGTGCGGAAGCTCTTGGCGTAGACGCAGCGCGCCAGTCGCTGCCGGACCCAGAAATTTCCCGGATCGCGACCTGCGCTGTCAGTGCCTCAAATTGAAATGAAATTGAGTTGATCTCCTTTCTCTCAATGCATCTCTTTGCTTGATCCTGTTCATTGCCCCGGACGCCGGCATCCTCATACTCACGCATCACAATTGACGGCTGTCTTTCTACCTGTTCACTTCATGTGCCATTAGTCTCGCCATGTTGTTGTGCAGGTAATTCGAGCCTCACCTAATTCCGCGCAGCTCAGCGCGACCCTTCAGAAATGGCTGCTTCTGCTGCTCCTTTGCTGAACGGCACTGTGCCCCCAGCTGTGCAGCCTGTGGACAATAAAGCTTTGGAGTATGAGAAGATTCTTAGGTTACGCGACGAGGTGTTTTCGGGGACGCATGCCCGACTCACAGTGCCCGCCCATGCCCTTCGAGTCTCTTCTTCTCAAACACCTTTGGCTGCGTCCCAGTCTCGCGCCAACGTACCCCCTCCGTTCCCTTCCAGTGCTTCGCCAAATCGTGTTGGGGCTGCACAGTCGAGACGTGAAGAAGACTCTACACAAACGCAGGCTAGAGCAGGGGGTCCTTTAGCTGCTTCTTCCAGCCAACCTGCCAGTAATGTTTCTGAGTTTGACCCTGTCCTTTTGACAAAATCAGATGATTTAGTTCGGGCTGAGATCCAGCTGAAGCGCCAGAGACTTGAGAAGGCTCTAAGAGACCAGTTTGATCAAAAGAGATCAGACGCTCGCAAGAAGCCTGCGCCTTCAGAGGCCAAGCCCGATTTCGACCTTCCGGCCATGCTTTCCAAAGTTCTGGACGCTGCCAAATCTCCTTCATCAAAAGAGGATGCGGACGCCAGCGACTCGTTTGACGCAAATTCTTTCTACTCTAGCAGGGCTCCAGACTCTACACCTGAAAATGGGCCGCAGAGTCCTTCTGCAGAAGAGGGCGAAGAGGGTGAAGCTTACGAGCCTCCTGGGCCAGCGCTTGTGAGTGCGGTCATGGGCTCACCGTTACCGCAAGCAACTGAGGTCCAGGCTACTACTAACAATGCCAACTTTGCATCCAATGCCGCAACGTCCGCGAAGCCTTCCACCCTCGCCCAACCTGCAAACATCGACCCGGATGAAGATGAGGGAGAAGAAGGGGAGTACTCTCCTCCAGAAGCAATGGCACAATACCCCACACCGAAGATTGACCCTTATCAAGGTGTGCAAGACAGTAGAGATCCACGCTCCCGGCCTCTGCGCAGATACTCGGAACTGGATGACGGTTTGAGGAGGCCCGGCTCACCTTCAGAGGCCAACATGCGGATTGTAAGGAACCAAATCAACTCTCCCATTGCCCCAGTACCGTCCCGTGCTTCTCCTCTGGCTGTAGCTAAGGGTGCCCCTCTTTTACAGAATGGCCGTCAACCACGTTCACCGCGGACCGGCCGGCAGGGATCTCCCCCAAGTCCTGATGACCAGCAACCACTGCACCCGAAAAAGAGGAGGAAGCTCGAAAAGCGTAACGAGAAAAAGGCCCGACGAAATGGCAAAGTTTCGCCCGATGCTTTCCTCAAAGAAGAACAAGTGTCGCCTCCACCATTCCACGACGTACAGCCGCTTGGGTCTGGGAGATTGCGACCTTTGGGAGGCGCCGAGCAGCCGATCACACTCGAGGACGAGCCAATGCAAGATGCCCGGTACCTGCCTCCTGGAGAACGGTATGTGGACTCTCCTTCTCGGCCACTTCCGCGGCAGGTGGAACAACTGATGCCACTCAGCGAGTCTCGAGCAGTCTCACGAGCCGGCATGAGGTCCGTTAGAGATGAGCCAGACCTGCGCCGAGTGGCTAGCATGCATAACCTGCGACTTGAGGGCGCTCAGGGATATGCTGATCCATACTACGAAACTCCTACACGTGCAAGAGCGACCTCCTACGCCAGGGTCGGGAGCCCCGCCATCAGAGAACCATCATCGTCGCGACTTGTCCCTTACGAATATGATCAGTCTCCTCGCGAAGTACGGATCATACGTACGCCGGCGCCTGTGTACCGTGAGATGTATGACGATGGAGAGCCTTCGTACCGCTACGCCACCGAGCCTATGCCGCCACCACCACCAGTGGAGAGAATTGTGATCGATCAGTATGGCAGAAGATTCCGCGAAATCATCCAAGAGAGACCGTCCGTGCCTCCTCGGGCGATCCCAGTTCCAAGGACAGAGACAGACCCTACCTACGAACATTACCGCCCAGCGCGAGCAGGATCTGTCTTTGTAGAGGCTGCGCCAGAGCGAACTTATCCCGCCGATATGCCTCCGCCGCCTGTCAGCTACCGTCGTCCTGCAGAATTTTCTCGCAGCTCGGTTGCTCCTGGGTCTGCCGCGCGGGAATATCTTGATCCAACTCCACTACCAAGGAGCTCTAGTGTTCAGGTAGTGGATCGAGCGCCACTCTCTACGATGTACCCAGACGAGCGATCTGACTTCCGTGAGCCTATGCGAATGGGCAGTGTAAGACCGCCTGCAGTACGATACGAGGAAGCTCAGCCGATGGAGATGATAACACGGGCGCAGAGTGTTCGCCCAACTGGTCGGCCTGTTGTTCGTGAAAGAAGCGTGTTGATGGAGAGCAGAGGAGGTCCGAGTCACAGATATCTGCCCCCCGAGCAAGCCAGATATCGAGTAGTTGAACGTGAGGAAAGATACTTGGCTGGCCCAGACAGAGACATGGAGCCTATGCTCGACCCGATGGAGGATGACCGCCGAGTTATGGAGAGATACTGAGCTCACACTCTTACTTTCTTCTTGTGATGCGGTGTTGACGATGCCGGGCGGGAGAGCGAAATCACCAGCAGCAAAGCGAGCGGGCCAATATCTGCGAATGTGTGTGTATTGTGTACATAAAGTGCCGCTGCTCTATCGGGTAGCTGCTTAATCTTGATAGGACAACCCATGACCGGCCTCGTTCTGCTGCGAGTGAGCTGCTGGATGTTGCAAACCAATCTCAGGACATTGTTTCCTCGATTCTAAAACACAGGCTGAAAGTACATCGGCCTCCTTAGCATTCCCCTTTCAAGATTGATAGAGTTGAAGGAAAACCAGCCTGCCGTGTCTGATTGGGCTAGTGCTCCTGTTAAGCGCTGCCATCTCACAACACACCAGGCATTTCACCACTAGATTCTGGCGAATGAACATGAGCACCCTGCAGTTGATGGCCCTCAGTCCAGGATCTGGCTCCGGCGCTTACGGAGAGCTTTCCAGCTAGTCGAACCGAATGCTTTGCAACATAGGAACATCAGGCTCATCTCGCTGAGCTGGCACCACACACCGTCAACAAGCGCCGAACACATGTAAGAAGAAAAAGTCGAGGCTCCGCCATGGGTCCCTGTAACCACAGCACAACCTCAAGCGACAGCGCGGGAAGCGCATTCGTAGAGGTGATTCCATCAGCTCACAAGGTGTGTTTCATGTTTCCGACCCTCCAGCTACCTGTAGTTGGATGTGTTCAATGTAAGTGTCCGGTTGCTGCTGCCGTTTCCCAGTCGTCGCTTCCTGCTTTGGTTCATATACTACGACGAGAGCTTGAACCACACTTTGGCCTCTCTCCCTTTCTGTTATACATGTGGACGTCGACATCGATAAGGGCTCTTGGAAACACATGAGTGTGGCGAGACTTGCGGAACAGCTGTTGGAGGCTCTGTTGCCACCATGAAGGCCAAATCCGTTCCAGAAGACTCGCTTCAGCCAACATGCACCTTCGTTCTATTCGACTGTCTGTCGTCAAAACCGGAGGATGAGGACAAGCGGGCATCTGCAGCGCCTGGTAAGGGATGAGGGGAGACCCTATTTGTGGGCAGTACCACTAACATCACCAAGGTGTCGAGCGAGAGATGCGGATCATGTATCAACAACCACATCTGGTCCCTCCCATGAAGCTCACTGTCTTCGATAACCTTCCACCAACGCCTACCCTTCCTCCTCCTTCCAGAATATCGCGATGGGTGTCGCAGGGGAAGGACTCTTTGAGATCTAGTTTATCAATGGGGAGACATGTCCCCTCGAGACCAGTCATATCCAGTCCTCGGCCGCCGGCAGACGAACAGCTACCTTTTCGCAGGATGAGGCAGGAATTCCGCCCCTTGGAACTCAGCATATACATGGCGGACAACCGATTGTCGGATCTTCCTGAGTTTGACAGACTGAGTTTTACTGATCTGGGAGAGATCAAACCGCCTCCCCGGGCGGTGGTGCGAACCAAGTCCGAGGAGCTCCTTTCCAACAAGTTGTCGATGATGCCAACTCGCGTCAAACCAGCGTCCATGATCGAACAGCGGCAACGGTCTCGATCTCAAACACGGCCTGATACCACATCCACGGTCATATCAACGTCTCGACCGCCGTCCGAATACGATGCTTTGCATTCCCATCCGGTGTCGTGGGCATCGCTCCCCGGCCTCCCACCGACTGCTCACATTCCCGGACGCTCCGAACCCTCGGTTGCCATCTTGACACCGATGGAGGAAGAGTTCAGCCCACCGATCACATCGGTGACTGTTGGCGGCCTTGTGCTCGAGTTCCCCAAAGTGGTCGACCAGCCGGGCATATCACCGATGCAATCGGCGGTGGGCTCTCCCTACACGCACGCGCCGGCCCCGATTGTAGCATCGGGACCAAGCAGAGAACTTTCTAAGCCTACGGAAACAGAAGATACGGCCAACTTTTTCCATCCTGACTACCAGACGCAACAGCGGATTTCACATTGGCTCTCCCACCGTCAATCCTCGTCGATTAGTACCACCAAGACAGCCTCCACCGCAGCTCCTTCATTTTCCGAGCGTCGTCGAAAGCGGGCTCAGTTCTATCAGCTCTCGGCTGCACCTCCCAAACCACTGAGCTTGTGCGCTGCGCATCACCAACGAACCTTGACGGGGTCCACCATGGCCAGCACTCTCGAGACGGATGCCTTGACTTTTGAGATCCAGAGTCAGACGGATGTCAGTGTAGCTACCCCTACTGAGTCCCAAATTCGCAATGGCACTGCTCGAAGTGTCTCCAACGGACTCAAACCAATCGTGAGTGGCGTACCGTATGTGCCACCCGATTATGCAGACATTCTCAAACAAACCGACGAGGTTCATATCAAAGAAATTGGAGGACCGCTGAGAAGCCCTGGTGTTGGTGTTGCCTTTTGAGACCAGAAACTGGCTGACAATACATGGAGTATTGTTTCTCTTTTTTGCATGTGATACCCATCGAAGTGTTTTGGTGTTTTGTTTTGGTTGCCCTCTGCGAGGGGTGCTTTGCCCTAGAGGGAGATTGCATATGTAAAACAAGAAAGCTATGGGAGAGCTGGAGCGACATTGGGGTCTACATTCGTTCATTTGGTTGATTAGCACAACCGCCTGTGCCCTGGGTTAGGGGTTTATGGCAGACACCCAGTTCGCATTTATGCTGGAGCTTTCTAGCGGACATTCCTTGAGACTGAGCTGGAACGGGTAGAGCTGTATGTACAGAATCCGAGTAGTCTAATCGAACACCGACATATGTACGGTAACTATGGCAGCAGCTGGTGTCAGAATGAAACTCACGTCAAATTCCTCTGGTGCAGAATGGTGGCACTGCAGTGTGCAGAACCTGGATCTACAATTAAATTCACTTTTCGTTAAAACAGCAACATCCTCGACTCCGATCGTACCTACCTAAGGTACCTTACTAGTAGGTAGGTAGATACTGTACATACCTTACAGCGAACAAGGCAGGTGCTACTCGCTGTCTGACGGTGTTCAAGTTGCAACTGCTCCGAGTCTTACGGTTTGCCTGCGCTTGAAGCACCTGCGTCAGTGCATGTTCCGACCTGATTCTATCCTCAGCTTCACCAAACGTCCAGATGGCTTCTTTGTTAAGTTTCATCTCCGTCTTGGACTCCTAGTGCTTTCCAATGACTGTCCAGCGCCTGCCCCTAACAGGCGAAGGCAATGCAAGTGGGAGCCACAAGGCAACGCTCTCGTTGCTGGCAACAGTTCGGCTACTGCCCGGTTAATCCGGTGATGGGTCCTCTCTGAGCCCGCCAACCATCATCAGTCTTATGACTGTCCTCTTATGACTCGCTCTTCCATCATGTCCTTGCTCCATCACCACTGGTAGCTCCAACTCACGTTGTCAGTGGAAGAGTGGTCCGAAACCCGGACGAGGCCAGAGCACAGTGGAGGAGCGGGAGAAAGATACATGCTTTCACAACCACAACCGGACCATACGATACTTGTCTGGGGTCCTAAATCCCCCTCTCGGTTCCCTCCGGATCTCTGAATTTGGGCCAAGATTCCACTCCGGCGACCGGGCTGTCAGAAACCAGGGAGGGAACTGGTGGTGGCTGTTCATCTCTCCACGGGGCTCCATATCGCTCCATCCAGGAATCCTGGAGTGTTAATTGCTAAGCCGGTGGTGCTCGTGGTCGTGAGCGGGTCACCGAATCAAGATGTGGCATGGTCGATAAGCTGAACCAGGCATCTGGGCCCAGGACGAATCGTGCATGTCCTAACTTGTAGCACATTCAATCATACAACTTCGGTTCATGAAAACCAACGACACCCTTTGAAATCGAAGGATCCTAAAGTCTCACTTTTGATGTCGAGGTCCGATGGCATCTCTGCATTCAACCGGTGATGGTTTGTCTTTGAAGAAGCCCTCTTTACGCTCACACCGACGATCACGGGTAAGTTTATAGTATCAAGTCTCCAACATTCGGCCTCCTGTCCCTGGTAGCTTGGATGTTGACAAGTCATCGTGATCTTCTAGGTCTGCCACCAAGCGAATAGCGAAAAATATCTTCATTGCCAGCAGCTCCGATTCCGCTCTCGGCCAGCAAGGTTCGCAACTCCGGTCCAGTGGGTGTCCGGACCACGTTCGATGCGGCTGTCGCGATGCCGTGCTGATAATATTGCAGGAAGTATTCGCAGGCAGAGACTCTCACAATCAACGACACCTATGCTTCACCCGATTACGAACCACGAGCCGATCCGCTCTTGGATATTCTGGAAGCAGGCACACCTGTCGTTCAGCACCAGGATTCCGGCAAGAATGGGCCAGACAATGAATCCAGGCCAACGCTCATCCGAACAAGCAATGACCTGGATGTCGACTTCGACCTTTTCGAGGCCTCCTGCTCCGATGCCGCGCTACGGTTAACAAATTCCTGCCTCTCCATGGTCACCAACCTGGATCTGGCTTTGCGAGACTATCTCCTGGATCAATTCTGGAACTACTTCAATGCTTGCATACCCGTTGTGCATAAGTCAGCTTTTCTTGCTAGCTTCCAAGAAAGATGTGATGACTTTTACTCGCCAGAATTGCATCTTGCAGTCCTTGCGATGGGTCTTCAAAGAGCGGATCACGGGCGGGAAGATGTTCAGTCGCTGTTGCTTCCTAACCGGGACACTACACTGCATAAGGAGTTGAGACTGGCAATGAACAACCTGCCACCACGGCAGACGAGAAATATTACACATGCACAATCTGCTATTCTTCTTGGACTGCTCGAATGGGAACGTGGGCTAGGCCATACCGCAAGACTCTGGCTAGGTGAGATGGTTCCCCCATTGTTTCCGATATTCCACCGGTTGAGGTATTTATGATGGACGCAGACGCGGCTTTCGCAATCATTACGGATCTCCAAGATTGCCATCCAGATTTCAAGACACAACTTTCAGACGATGCACATATTGTGCACCGCATCGTCGTGCGTGCGGCCAGCCTAATCCACGGGTAATTGATTCAATCGTTGGACCAGAAGAATGGCATGCTGATTCCTTTTTGTGTGTGAAGTCAGTGGTCTCTGTTCCATCAAAGCCTCCATCCTCCATTCGGTGCTCGGCCCCTGAATCTAGCAACTTCTGGTCGCTTGTCTAGCAATCCCCACTCTTCCATGGTCGCGCAGGACCTGGCTTCGCAGATCTACAATGCGCAACTGGAACTCATGAGCATGGCCAAAGATGGAATGGAGCAACTGCAGTCCCTACCTAGTCTCCCCGCCGGGGACCCTTTCCCTCTACTGAATCAAATGCAGAGCCGGCTAAAAGATTGGTATGATAACCTTCCAGATGGAATGAGCTGGAAAGAACATCAAACACAGACGCCGTCTCTTTCGAGTTTCTTTCTTCTGCAGTAAGTACCAAAAGCACCTCCGACACGCAGATTCTTCGACTGCCAGGAACGAGGATGGATGAACCATCAGTCGTTATAGCGACCAGTCCGGCGAAATCTTCAAAACCCGTGAGTGGCAGTCACTAACACTTGTATACCGTACTACAGTCAGCAATACCACTCCGTGATCCTCCTCCTATACCGCCCTTACACATCTTGCGAGTCGTTGATGAAACTGCAACGCCGAAGGAATAAGACAGATTTGAGGCAGTTATCCAATGCACTTGGCAGCATTTTGCTAACTCAAGCGATGCGATTAACGGACGTGCTCTCGGAGTACCATAGTCAGCATGTCTCCAATACCATTCATTCTCTAGCAGTCCAGCAAGCAGCACTTGCCGCAAGTGTTCTCTTAACCAAGAGAATACGGGCAGCTGGTGGCAACCTTCTGCGTGATTCCATCCACGGCCGGCTCAGTTTCTTACATCGATTCTTCATTGACATCTCGCCCGTCCAAGGGCCAGCTGAACAGATAGCGCACACCATGCGGCCGCTCCTCGACGCCATGACTAGCGACAGTAATACTATCAACAGGGATACTCCTCCGCAAACATGGCAAAATACCTCCTCTCACGCGGGTGAGATGTATCGGCAGAGGTCAGGTATCCCAGAAAGAGCAAATAAAGCTACTTCGCCCGACCACAGTAACTGGTTTTACAACAAAGGCGAAGGAGAGAGCCTCAGTCACGACCCGCTGCCAGGTCAACTTGGCGGTGATTGGGACCCGATAGTACAACGGGACAATGCCACAACCACAGTCGCTGGTGGATTCGACACATACAAGAAGAGGAGCAGTGATATGCCGTCACTAAATCGAGTCACGGCTGGAGCAGATCACATCAACCATCAGGATGAGGGCGCTGCAGTGTTGCAAAGCCCCCCTAGTTCTATCCTCCGAGAGCTCTTCTCTTCTCACAGCCAATCCTTCGACCACGGTCTGAACAAGGGATATTTCGGGAGTACGCCTTCATCGTCTCACGGCAGCTTCGATAGAATTTCAGCCTATGCGAGAGAACGTAGCAACCCGCCCTCAAGACCGGACTCGCGGCTTAACCAGATGTTCCACGTCGGTATGGATGACCTAGACTTGTGCAACCCTACCGTGATGGACACACCAGAAAGCGAGGACGGTGATGGCGCCAGCGTTCCATGGTCTGAGGCATTCAAGACGCTTGTGGCCGTCAATCGGAAACGAGCTGGATCGGAGAAAATGAATGCCAACGAGTTTGGCGACGTCATGGGCTGCGTTTTTAAGCTGTGATCTCGGATATCCTTGGATGCGATAAAAGAGATGTAATACAACTGGGGTGCCCGCCCAAGCAAAATTCATGTCATACTTTGCTCCTCTGTCAGCCAGTGGCATCTCAATGCGGCGGAGGCCTTCGATGGCATATACCAGGTACAGGACTCTTTGAGCCAGATTCAATATTCTGAAAGGATGTCACCAATGTTAAAGCCGCCAGAGTCGTTGGGTGATTCGCCCAGGTCGAACTGAGGTAAGTTGAAGCCAGCGAAAAGGTCAAAATTCGGCGTCCCTTCTACATAAGATTGCCAATACATCTCGTCGAACTCTGGGATTGGTGGTATGGGCAGGAAAGAGGAAAATTGAATATCCTCCCTCGCCTCGGTACTTAGTGTTACCGATCCTCCTTCAGGGTGCGGTTTGTGCCGTAAGGTATGGTGGGAGGCTTCAGAAATAAGCGATTGTCGACGCGAGTGTCGGTGCTTCCCATGGTCAAACTCGTGCCAGTGGGCGGTGGATTGTGTTCCGGCAAGATGCTGTTCCTGGAAAACCGGGTGATTCGAGCCTGCTACCGTTGTCTCCGGTCGCCCATACTGACGATCGCGGACTCCGTTTCCTTCAGAAGCGGACATTTCAACACCTTCCTCCTTATTGGCTTCCCTCAGATATTCGATCGCATCTGCGGCGGTGCCATAGGCCTCTTGCAAGATGAGCAGAAATCGTTGACATTGTTGGATGCCCTCCACAGCAGCGCGCCGGACTGAGGGATTTGGCGCTTTGACATCTAGGAGATGTATCACAACAGCAGCCACCACGCTGCCGACAGCAGAGGTTGACAGGTATGGTATTAGCCCAGCGTCACAGAGGCCTTGGTTGACACGGGTGAGCTCCCAGGCAGCATCCCGAAGTATGCGCTGCGGAATATCGTTTGGCTCTCCGCCGCCCATTCTGTCATCACGCCAAGTTGAGTTGGGCGAGAGAGCTTTGAGGCGGTAAAGGGCGCTGATCGCCACATAATAGCTGACATGGACTGTCGCTTTATGGACAATCAAGCTCCTATGGCCTTCTTGGTTGCAACACTGCTGCTGGGACATTACGTCTTGTTCCTCGTTGGAATGGTCATTGCTGGATCGAGCGCTTGTGTCATGTGCCACGTATCGAAGGTCCGGCGGCAATGCATGGTACCACCTGGCGAAGTTCTGCGCGCACTCTTTGAGCTGAGCGGAAGGGGATGGAAGCGGCCGTCCATCAGGATCATCGCATTCGCCGCTCTCGACTTGCTGGCGACAGTTAAAGATGGTTGCGACAAGATCAGCTATGCACACACAGAGCTTGACGTGTTCAATACACAGCCTGGCTAATGTATCCTGCATTGAATGGTCATCTGGCACAGCCCCTCCTTGAAAACGCGAGACACGATGTGTCTCCTGCGCTGTTGGAGGCGGAGCTACAATCCTTCCGTTGAGCTCGTTGTCCAGTTCATCCACTGTATTGACAACGTCGTCTTCAAAGTCCTGAGGTGTGAGCATATTGACGTTATAGTAGTTTATGCGAGCCGGGCGGCCCAATGCGAGGGCGATCTTATTTTCGCGCACGAAAACCGACCACCACAAACGACGCCGCAGATACTGCTCTCGAGGTTCAAACCGGCCATCGTCCGGGTCCATGTGCAGTCCGATTGAGTACGCAAGGGATACCGCGGTTCCCAGCCAGTACCATGAATCCTTCTTTTCTTTCTTTCCCGGGTACCACGTGCTCAACAAGACCGAGGCTTGCACTGCCGCAAATCTGTCTTGCTCCGCATTACAGTCGAAGAGGACCTGAAGCTTTCCAGTCAGTATGGTTCCCAGTGCTTGAGATATCACCTCTACCGAAGTGATGCTGCGTATGAAGAGGTTGAGTCCTCATCAAGTCGATGGCCTGACCGAATAAGAGAGATTGAGACGGGTGATCGCGGTAACTCACCTTGGCTCGGTTGAAAAATGCACGACGCGCGGCTTGTTTGGACTCGAACCCTTCAGCAACAATGCGCTCCGTCTCGACGAAAGCAACCCCTGAACATAATACAGCATGGAACAGGAGAAAGCTCAGCGGCTGCGCATACTGTCCTGTCTCGCGATCGTCGATTCCATCACCGCCAAGTGGCCCGTTTATTATTGACAATATCTGACTCTTGTCCAGCAGAGGCAGCAGTGGATGGGCAAATTCGAGGTGTCCCACGAGACAATCTCGGATGAAGGGCTGACTAGGAAGTTCAAAGGCATTCTTGTCGTGAAGATAACGGATGTCCGCATCGTCCAAGTCTTCAGGCAGTGGTTTGATGAAGCACGGTAGACTGGAAGGAGTCCTGGCCGCGTGGCTGAGTCGCTCACAGCCGCCGTGCGGGACTTCTATGGACGAATTGCGAGCAATATTGTCCGGCGCTGTTCCTGAAAGGTGCAATTGTGGTGCGGCTCCGTCGGCCACCTGGATCGGAAAGCCTTCGGAATCATGCTCGAGGCGATATTCGTGCGAGCTGTCAGCCCGGTCTGTCTGTGGGATGCTCTTTGCAAAACGAATATCCGGTGCCGGAGACTGAACAATGACACTTTCTGTCCTGGAAGTAGCAGCAGCAGCACTGGAGCTCAGCTGCGCGCTGTTCGACTTTGTGGCTTTGGCAACCCTGTTACAGTCCGATCAGATCGATCTACGTCAGTCCAACAAGTCTAAATTTAGGAGAGAGCCTTGCGGAAGCCGTTTGGTCTGGTCCACGAGATGTGTAAAACGTGGCATCTGCACAATGCAATAGTAAATACGTACTTGTGGCGCCGACTCTTCGGCACAACACACTCCAGCGAATCCAACCGGCAGTTGGTACAGGGGGTCCCACTACGTACCACATCGCAACGGACCTTGCGGGCTCGACAAGAGGCACATGCTCGACCAGCACGCTTTTTTATTTTCCGTTCAGGAATAGTGCTAGTACCTCCATTCTTACCGTCCATAATAATGAGGACGGCGCATCGCGGCGTGGTTGCGACTAACGGCGAACCCCGAATTCTGGATGGTGTGTGCGGCGACTGGCCCAAAACGGCTGTGTATACTTGGTAATGCGCGGTGCAAGTTCCGCAAAGAAAGCCGAGGGTGTGGAACGAGGGCCTCGAAACCAGCTATAACACGAGAAGACGCAATGCTAGAATGTTGGATAACCGCGGCTACCTATATACTATACCAGAAGCCAGGCTTTCTGGAGTCCGTTGTGCCACGTTCCTCCTTGGAGACAGAGCCTTGTGGGTCTGAGTGCATAACCGACAACCGAAAACGATAGTCAGCACACAGCCAAGAAAGACGGACCAGACGTACCCACGCGCGAGGCTGTGGATCTGTATGGATCAATATGGGGCCTTTCGACAAATCGAGACTTCAGAATCAACCCCAGGAAAAAGTGGCTATCCCTCCTCTGGGGCCCCTCGGGGAAGTGAAGGTCCAGCCTACTAGTAAATGTTGTTATGTATCTGACCGCTCCCCCGGGATTTGTGGGTTTGCAGACTATATCTTCTCTCGCGCTGTACGCTGCAAGGAAAAGAAGCCAGCAAAGGCAGAGGACCAAGGCCCTTCGATCATGTCCACCACCGGCAGTACGACAACAGCCACGGCCACGGCCACCACGAAGGAGGTGGTTGCAGAAAAGCAAAAGCCCCAGCACGAGGAACATTCCTCGGAGCTCGATATTGAGGAAGACATCGACACGGCGAATCCGGCCTATGTGAAGCGACTGAAGAGAAAGATCGATGTGAGGATATGTCTTGTCCTTGGAGTGTTGTATACGGTTTCATTGGTGGACCGTGTCAATCTGCCTGTAAGTTACCTTAGGCTTCCCTTTGCTGTCTCAAAGGATGGCTTCCTACGAGAGCCCTCCTTTCAAATCCGCAGATACTCTCTATGATTGCCTTGGTTTGGTTTCTTCTGATGTGAGAGCTAATTGATGAGAACAGAATGCGTGAGTATACTCCACCCTTAATTACTTTCAGTGGTGGTCTTTTTGTTGTGTCAGGAAGTTCGGCAGCTGATTTTGGATGCCCTGGGACAAACAGAGTTGTTGCTGGAATGAGCACAGATCTAAAGTTGAAGGGGAATGCTTATGTGAGTTCAAACTTGATCCATCCTAAGCCTCAGGCTCTACAGATCTGTTGGAAATCTGCCCAGAGCTGCAGAGATGCCCGTTGAGGTCAAACACTGGCACATTGTGCGAGAGAAATAGCAACAGAAACAAAAATGCTGACGTTACTTTTGTGGCAGACCCTTCTTGTCCTTGTGTTCTTTCCATTCTACATATGCTTCCAACCACCAATGACTGCGATTGCGCGAAAGCTTCGTCCGGGACGGTTTTTGTCCTTTATCGTCACCGCGTGGGGACTGGTTATGGTTGGGCACGGTCTTGTCCACGCCTGGAGACCTATGCTTGCCCTTAGGATTTTGCTTGGTATTCTTGAGGCCGGTTTCTTCTCATCATGTGCCTATTTGCTGTCTACTTGGTACACGCGCGCAGAGGTGGCCAAGCGGAACGCCGCTTTTTATCTGCTAGGAAGTTTGATTGCCGGATTTGGTGGTATTCTCGCATATGGGGTAAGTGAACCAAAAGGGGACGGCACCAAAGCAGTGGTTGACAATACTAACTTATTGGGTGTTGTAACAGCTTTCCAAGATGAATGGTGTCGGCGGCTATGCAGGATGGAGATGGATCTTCATCATGGAAGGCATCATTACTGTGTTCTTTGGCCTGCTGGCATATTTCCTGATCGTTGACTTTCCCGAAGACGCGCACAAGTCGTTTCGCTTTCTCAAAGACGAGGAAATCAAGACGGTCATTGATCGCATCAACCGAGACCGAAGGGATGTCCAGGCTCCGCCGTTCCGATTGGTGCCGTATCTCAAGAACGCATTGGACTGGAAAATCTGGCTTTACGCGGCAAACTTTGGCTTGACTTCGGTCGTAACCTACGCCGCGGCGTATTTCTTGCCGATCGTCCTGAGACAAGGGCTGGGATTTTCAGAGGCGGCTGCCCAATGTTTGAGTACTCCAGTAAGTCAGCCCTACCTCATCCATTCATCTGGATCTCCTCGTCAACGCTATATTCTCTTTCAGCAACTAATTCTTTGTGACAAAGTGCTACGTGTTCGCTTCCATTTTGGGGTTTGGAGAAAGTGTGATTTCCGATCGGATCCAGCTCCGCACGCCATTTTTGTTGTTCAACTGTGTCATTGAAGTGATTGGCGTTGTTGTCCTGGGATATGCAAAAGGCAGCGGTGTCCGATATTTCGGGGCCTTTTTGATCATCGGCGGCGCTCAGTCGAATATCCCGTTGAGTCTGACTTACCAAGCAAACAATATCCGAGGTGTGTGGCGTCGGGCTTTTTGCTCGGCGACCATTGTCGGTGCTGGTGGGATTGGTGGGATTATTGGGTCTTTGACTTTTAGGAGTCAGGATGCTCCGAATTACAGGTAAGAAAGCACCTCTGGCTGTTGTGATGGCGGCTCGAAGATGAATGAGGAATGGTTGATTGATTGTGTACCGTTCAGACCCGGCCTATACACATGTATCACCGCTGCATGTCTGACTTTCCTGTCTGTCTGCACCACCACCACGTATTTCTACGTCCAGAACAAGAAGCAGAAGCAGGGAAGGACCGTTATTGAAGGACTGGAAGGGTTCAGGTACACTTATTGATTGACTATCCAGCTTGTCGCTTCCAGCTGCCGGCAAATGGACGGGGCGGTGGGTCTATGGCATGAAAGGAGTGACGGGAAGGTGTTGCTTCAGGTAACAGAACTCGTTCTGTTCAAGTTCATGCCTTTATCCTCTTTCGTTTCAGATAAGAGAGAAGTCGATAAGGGGAGACATGTCGAGGGTTTGTTTGATAGGGTCATACGGTAGTCGCTGTCAGGAAAGGAGACTGGACGCTCGAGAAAGGGAGGCTCAGGCTCAGCTGGATAGATATCACCGGAGGATGAACTTCGGTCATCTACAACCTAAAGGAATGAGACTCGGATGTATATGTAAATATGGCATTGTAAATTGGTCGTACTGGGCTGATCAACTTGACTCGAAACCTGATGCGTTCAGATAAACCAGGGCAAGAGTAAAGGCTACCTGAGGTAGGTATCCATTGCTGTCCAATGTGTGCCTAGATCTTCCGAGGGACTTATAATGCAAGGCTAGAACCTATCTCTGTGTTTAAGTTGTTCAAGTTACTCGAGATGTCTGAAGTCGTCCCCAGGTATGCATCTCCGCTGCAACAGCTGAGGCAGAATTTAACCCAGAGCGAGGGAAGACGCGGCTGTACATTTCTACTGATTCTTTTCATTCTTGGTCTGAGAGCGGCAGAGTCAAGTTCGTATCTTTTTGGCGTCCCCTCTGCGACTGCTCGAAATTGTCTTCGGAAGTTGATCTTCTTTGGTACCTAGGTAGGTACTGTGTCTGAAACTACATTACAACTTCGCACTCAAGCCTGGCGCATTGCCTCCGGCCTCCTTCGCCGGCTGGATCTCGCAGATCAACATGCCCTCTCCAACAGTTTCTCCCTCTTCCACATCGCAGGCCCAGGTCACAACGCCGGCAAATGGGGCGCGAACTTCCAATTCCATCTTCATTTGCTGCACAACCATCAGCACCTCCCCTTCTTTCACGTGGTCGCCCTCCTCCACCGCCACTTCCACCACGGTGCCGGGGAATGGCAAGACGACGTGGTTGGGGTTGGACGGGTCACCCTTCCGGTGGTGGGAAGATGCCAGGCCAGCTCCGGCGGCCGCTGCAGCAAGGCTGGCGGTGAATTTCTTCTTTGTGGCCGAGGAATCAGTCACCAGCGACACGTCGCCTGCAATCAGGTTGGGGAAGTCGTTGTTCACAATGCGGTCGAGCACGATGAGATGTTCTCTCTCGGGCCCTTTGCCGCCATTCTCCAATAGCTCGCTCAATTTCACACGGAACGAGTCGCCTTTCTTGAAGAGCAAGCTGGATGGACCCGCAACGCCGGCCCCTGCAGAGGAGCCAGCATCGCTACCGGAGGCTCCACCAAACGAAGCTTCCCTTGCAGCCCGAGTCGAAGATACCAGGCTTTCCCCGAGCTTGCGGATATCTTGAAGGTTGTCCTCGAGCCAACGCGTCGAGCATCTGGAGGCCTGAAAATCCGCTGACGCCAGGGTACCGAGCAACACGGACAAATTTGTCTTCACTCCATTCACGACCAACTCGTCCAGTGCTCGCAAACCTTTCACTCTGGCCTCCTCGCGAGTCGGTGCACTTACTATGATCTTGGCAAGGAGAGAATCGAACGATGATCCAACCACGGTGGGCCGGCTGCCGCTGAGATGGGTATCGACCCTGACACCGCGGCCACCAGGGCTGTGGAACTGGGCGATCCGACCCATGCTGAGGGCGAACCCCTGTGCAGGATCCTCAGCCGTGACCCGCAATTGAATGGCGGCCTTTGCTGGCGGATTGCCGAATGATGCTCCTGGAAGGTTGGAGGAAAGGCCGAGACTGTCGATGCTCGCTCCTTGGGCGATGAGCAGTTGAGACCGTACGAGGTCCACATTGGCAATCTCCTCGGTTACTGTGTGTTCGACCTGAAGGCGAGGGTTGACCTCGAGGAAATAAAACTCGGGTCTCGACTCGTGGACGAGGTATTCGAATGTCCCGAGCGAGCGGTATTGTATCTGATGCATAGCAGGCTCATTAGAGGAATGATTGTTGCTTGACGGAGATCAAGGGGCGTGTCTTACCGACTGGGCTAGGTTTATCGCGCTCTGAATCACCTGTGCGACCACCGCCCGGTCTTGGATTGTCGATGGCGCCAGCTCCACCATTTTCTGGAATCTGTAGGTAAGTCAGCAAAAGTATACCAAGAGATGGTGTTTTGATGTTTGCAGTTTGCAGGCGTACGGACCTCCGCTGGATACTGCACTCACGCTCCCACAGATGGGATACTTGGCCACGCCCGTCGCCGATAATTTGCACCTCCACATGCCGGTACCCATCCACGGCGGCCTTTTCGATGAACACTTTCCCTCCCGGTGACTCTCCGCGGGCTCGATCAAAGGATTGCTGGAGCTCTTCTGGGCGAGTAACAAGACGGATGCCTCTGCCTCCGCCGCCGTCCACAGCTTTGATCATTAACGGGAAACCAATCTTCGAGATGAACTCCGACGCCTGGTCTAGTTGGGAGATGGGCTCTTTGAGAGCGGGTAACACTGGCACAGCACAAGACTCTGCCAGCCCTCGAGCATCAGTTTTGTCTCCGGTCCGACTCAGCGTGTCCGGCGTGGGCCCGATGAACCGGATGCCCGCTGCCTCGAGGGACTCTGCGAACTCTGCATTTTCCGACAAAAAGCCGTATGCGGGATGGACGGAGTCGATCTTGTTGTCGAGGCACAACTGCTTCAGAAGGTCTTTGTTCATGAAGTCGCCGGGCGACTTGAGAAGCAGAGCCTCGTCGGCATGGATCGCATGATTCAAGTCATCCGAAGTGTACACCGCAACAGTGTGTATCCCCAGCTCTCGGGCTGACGAGATGACTCGAATTGCAATCTCGCCCCTGTTTCCCACAAGGTGTCCTGGTCAACCCAACTGTTACTGTAATATGTGGCATCGCGACTGGCTTACCTGTTGGCGACCAAGAGCCGCTGTATTCGAACTGCCCCCATGATTTGGAGAAGCGATACCCCTCAAGTCCGGGCGTCTTGATAATTCGAGGATCCCGTGGTCACTCTACGAATCCGAGCTCTTCTTTTCAGGGGTACTGCTCAATCATGAGCATAGAGCGTCAGCGGTATTCTACTGCATGGACCGATCTCGAGATATTGGTTTCACCCCCAGCGAAGTCCGAAAGTCGTGTCGTCCTAGAGACTATTTGATTGCGACGAAACGATTGGGTAGCATCCTGCTGTGCACCGCTCCGGGAAACGATTGATCGCTTAGACCTGTGTGGCCTGAGACAATACCGAGGCACTGCCCCAGAAGACAGCGAGGTTTCCTGGGCTTGTCCCGCGGGTTTACCCCAATCACTCCGGATTCGAGTGACCTTTGGCCATGCTTAACCACGGCTATCTATCTGTGTTACGCTCGAATTCCCCACACAAGAAGCAACATGGACTCCAGACCGCGGCACCTTTCCACCAATGTTGTTAGGCGGTACTACTTTGGGAATTTGGTCTACACCCATGGAGGCATGTTCTGGGCCATCAATATAGCACACGGAGCTTCCTATGGTAAGTAAGTGAGGCAGCAGAGTTAAGATCTTGAGACGACATCGCGTTCACAACCTGGTTACGGCTCGTTAATCATGTCATTGCTCCCTGCTGCGGCCGCTGCGGCAGCCGCCGTGGTGTCCGGCATGTATCTGGATGCCAAATACTCGATTGGCAGCGACATTGCTCAGATGCGTGGAGCCAAGCGGATGCAGAAGCACGTTGAGAATCTGTACAAGGAGCACGGCGAAGACGACTGGTCATTCTACCACGTGCTTCACTGCACATACGACATCAACCACCACGACAACAATGCAGAGGCTGTGGTCTTCGAAAACCGGAGTTGGACCTACCGACGTCTCCGGGAGGAAGTTGGACGATGGGCCGAAACGCTGCAGCGGCTGGGAGTGCGCAACCGCATGGTGGTCGGCTTGTTCATCAACAACTCGCCCGAATTCATCTTCACCTGGTGGGCACTGTACAAGCTGGGTGCGATCCCGGCGCCCATCAACACTTCCGTCACTGGTGACCATATCAAACACTGTCTCAAGGTCAGCGAGGCCGAACTGCTCATCACCAGCTACGAATTGGCGGCAATCATAATGCAGACTTTCAACTTGACCAGCAGCGGTTTTGACGGCAACCCTTCCTGTCCACGGGTCAAGCAGTTGGTTTTGTATGATCACAACACTTATCCACCACTGGATCAATGGCCTTCAGGGCCAGGCATTTTGTCAGTGCGACACGACGAACTGCCTCCGGTGATGCCGGAAATGGGTGACTTCCCCAAGGCCACCAGGCCCAAGGTGCACCATACCGACGCTTCGCAATATTTGTTTACGTCCGGCACGACGGGACTCCCAAAAGCTTTGATCTGGCCTGCCGGGTATAGCTTGTCATCGACGTGTCCGACTAGATGGCCTGGAATGCAGAACAAGAAACGTCGCTTTTATGTTTGCTTGCCCATGTTTCATGGTACTGCGACGTAAGTGTATATCAATTGTTTGTTCTAAATGGTCCCTGCTGCATGCATTCCTCTCGACTTGGTTTTTCCGAGTCTCGTGTGCGTCAGAGGTGTATGCCACTTGGCAACCAAGATGGACAATACTTTTCAGACTACCTTACGGCTCTCACTCGCATTTAGACTTACTCATGGCTCCGAGTCTCTGATCCCCTTGCTGACTTCTCGTTTCAGATTCGCCGCTCTTCCCGCAACACACGCAACGTCGGGGACCATGATTTTTGCACGTCGCTTTTCCCGCCGCGAGTTCTGGGCTGACGTCCGTCGCTCTCGAGCCAATGCCATCTTGTACATCGGTGAGATGCTACGATATCTCGTCCAGTCACCGCCAGATCCTCGGTTCCAAGACGAGAAAGACCATGACGTGGATCTGGCATTCGGACTCGGGCTATCACCTACCGTCTGGCGGGCCGTACGAGAAAGGTTCGGGATTCCCTGGATCGTCGAGTACTATTCGGCCAGTGAGGCGACCACGTCACTTGTCAACTCGAACATGAACGATTATGGGGTCGGCAAAGTCGCCCACTGGGGCCCTCTGATGCGCAATTTCGGCCAGGATTCGTTTTATATTGTTCGAACTGATTTGGAAAGCGGGGAGATCTTGCGGGATCCCAAGACCGGGTTTTGTATGAAAACCAAAGCTGGCGAGGTCGGTGAGTCGATCTGCAGAATCACGCCGCCGTTCCAACGGAGACACGACTATGTTGGTGAAGGTGGGAAGGAAGCCACAGACAAGAAGGTGTTGAGAGATGTGTTTAGGAAGGGTGATGAGTTTTTCAGGCTGGGCGACGCCTTGGTTATAGTAAGTTCGATACCTAACATACCTGTTCAGTTTTCTCTGTGCCGGCCGGGGTAGACCTTTCTACGCGAAGTTGAACGGCCACGAGTGGAGTGTGCCTAGCCAAACCTGATTCCGATAGCAAAGAGTGTTGTAGCTTGGTTGCAAATACTCGGACTAACGTGTGTTTGTTGCTTCTAGGACAAAGAAGGTTTCATATCCTTCCATGACAGACTAGGCGACACCTACCGCGCCAAAGGGCACAACATTTCCACGACTGAAGTCGAAAGCTGCTTCAGCCGCCATCCGAACATTGCCTCGGTTAATGTCTATGCCATCCCGATGAACAGGTATGGCTACGACGGTCAATTGGGCTGTGCCGCCATCACCTTTACTTCGGACAGCAATTCCGAAACGCCCACGGCGGTCGAAAAGGAAACCGTAGCCCAGCTGGAAAAATGGGCCACCACCAACGAAAGCGCCGCTTTGCCCTCGTACGCCGTGCCGCGGTTCCTGCGTGTGTTGGTGTCCACGCAGTCTGCGACGAAAGATGTTGCTGCGGATGCCGAGCCAGATAGAGTTTCGCCGATCATGAAGAAGTTGAAAACTGGACTTCGTCAAGAAGGTGAGAGGACTGCTTTCGATTCTTTTTCGACTTCGTTTGCTGATGACAATAGGCTTCTCTTTACCTCCTGGTAGTAAGGATAGAATCTATTGGATCGAAAAAGAAGGCTCTGGGTATGTTCCGTTGACGAAGGAGGCGGAGCAGCTTTTGTTGTCGGGTAAGGCTAGGTTATAGATATGTCAGCGGATGAGCGCGGGTGGTCGAGATAGAGAAAGAGAAAGATAGAAAAGAAACACTATGCAAGATGTAATCTCAAGAGTGGTTCACTGTCCTGAGGGATCATTGAATCCTTGTTGTTGTCCTCGTTTCCAAGCTACCGAAAGCTGTGGCGCTGAATCCTGATTCATTGTGTCTTCACCTTATCCTTGAGCTCTTGCATCCCATATTCGATGGTCTCCGTAATGCCAAATTATGCCAGTTGGAAGTATATCGATTCGAAGCATAAAATACCCAAAGCTGGCGACGCAGTCCTCACTGCGTCAAGTAAGTACCCGACACGAACCGACATTTGACCCTTACGTTCGGCCTGTACTGGGTCGCAGGCCATGAAGATAAGGGTTCGTCAAAGTCATTGTGGAGGCAAACATAGGTACCTCCGGCCTTGCTCTCTTTTTTTTTTTCGTCAAGTCTTCGAGGTTAGGACTTTCAATTGCTACCACCGGAGGCCTTTTTTCTTCCCCGTTTCCTTTTGCTGGGCGAGACGTTTCAGAAGGAAAAGCATAGCATGTCAGGACTCCTGCTCTCTTCTATTTCTACTCCATGTCCGGTGTTATGACATTACTATCCCCTCCATCGATCAGGACATCGCGCATAGTTTCGGCGCTCTTAACTCTGATATCGACAAAGCTTTGGGGGGAGTAGAAGGCGGTATGACAGGTTAGGGTCATACGGCCCTGCAGCCAGGGCTCTTTGCTTCTGTACGCTTGAATGAGCGGATGGACGTTGTTTTCGGGGATTGGTTCTTCGGGAAGCACATCGAGCCCCGCTCCGCTAATGATTCCTTCACGCAAACACCTCTCGACGGCATCCAAATCGACGATTTCGCCTCTGGCGGTATTGACAAAGACGGCGCCGCGAGGTAAGAGAGATAACAAGTCATAACCGACCATACCTCTCGTTTCGCGCGTGCATGGACAATGGAGGCTCAAGGTGGTGCTACGCCGAAACAGCTCTTTGATGTCTCGTGTTCGTTCCACGCCTAGACTCTTGTCGGTTCCATTCTTTACGTACGGGTCGTAGAAGAGAACGTGCCAGCTGAATGCTTTGGCCCTCAATGCGGCCGCTGTTCCGATCCGGCCCATCCCCAAAATGCCAAACGTTGCGCCTTGAATCCGGGAAACTAAGGGGGTGTCGATGTACATCCATGGTGCGGGGGGTGTGGCGCGCTGTGTGTCGTTGTGTAAGAGGATGCCGCGGCGGAGGGAGAGGGCGAGGGCTAGTGCGTGGTCGGCTATTTCGCATGTTCCGTAGTCTGATGGATCATAGAACAGAAAATGGGGTTTAGTATCTGATTGTGATACGGAGTATTTGAGAGGGTTAGGTAAAGTAAGAGAGAGGCGCATTTGCAATGCAGCGCTATCTGTCGAAAGTACTCTCTGTTGGATTGCAGGTTTCTTTCTTACCTGGGACATTGCATACCGTGACACCTCGCTTGGCCAGGGCTACTCGGTCGAGTCGATCATATCCGACACCCATGCGAACTATGCTGTTGAGCAAAACAAAAATGGAACATGTCAGTACGTAGATACCGAGCAACGTGACACCGATGAATGGCGATCATCTGGGGCAGCATCTCTTGTCGTTCGGAACAATATTTTCGGAACAATATTTTTGAACGACAAGTTCGATCCTCGATAGCAAGCATTCCAATTCAGAACAGTGCACCTAAACTCACACCTTTAGTCTCGGAAACAGCGCCAGATCTTCCGCCTTGAAACTCATCTTGAGCACCATGATGCCGTCGACTTGTTCTCGAAGACCAGGATCGATATCTGACCATGGTCTTCGATTTGGGACCCCGGTCGGCCATAGGTTGGTTTGGATGTATTTCACGGCGTAGTTCTGGCCTGGTCTGGGCTGGAAGATTTCTTGCTCGACTGTGTCGTCCTACATTCGGAAATGGCAGCGCGCATTAGTAAAAAGGTTGTGGGTGGTATACCAGTGGTGGAGGGACAGATTTAGAGCGAGAATGAACGAAGACAATTGGACCAAGGGAATGAGATACGAGAAACTCACAGGATAAAGCCCGTCAGCCTGGATGATGGTGTAAGTTGGGATGGCAATGGGATCCGCTTTTGCCGAGGAAGTCATGGTCCGAGAGGTGTTGTAGTAGTTCTAGATTAGAGACCAACCGATACCGATTTGAAGGAGACTCCGATCTTTGCAAGAGAACCAAAGAAATCAAGCCCCCAGTTGCATAGCTTTTCTCTGGTAGATTTCGTTTAAAACTCGATATCTCAAAGAGTGAAGGTGCCTCGCGCAGACAAAATCCGATGTTGTTTATTTCTCCAATTTTGATGGCGCAAGGACGGGGTACTCCACGTCCTCGCTCGGAGAGAACTGCCCCGAACAGGCCAAACCGAGACTGATGACAAGAACGTATATACAAGATACAACATCAAGCAGATATTTCCCCAGCGCGATGAGTGCATGGTTTGAAGGAGACGCCATGATTTACAATGTTGGAATTTGCACTCACGATGCACGGCATCTTCGCCCTTGCACCCGCCGAGCTTTTGGTATGTACAACATTTGCCCTGTTGCCGTATAGGGAATTCTCCTCTATCCCGGCAATGAAGGCGTGTGTTGAAGCTCAGGATGAGCGAGGAGCTCATGTTGAATTGAATGCCTCGCCATCGTCGACGAGGACGACAGCGGAATTGAGGAATTGAGAAAGAGTGGGTAGTGGATGCAAGCGGGGCGGTCCCAGGATCGCTTCTATGTATCAACTTCGCGGAATGTTTTGAAGGACAAACCAACAAACAACCTTCTCGGTCTAAAGTGCAGAGTCATCGACTCGAGCGAGCGTAAAGTCTGTTCCATCGATCCTGTCGTTGATATCGACAGGGCCAGAAGCATAAAGTCATTTTCGCCCTCTGCACAGATCTGATTATAACTTTAGTTTTCTGAGAGCAAATCTTGCAAAAGCAGCAGCAGCTAATTGCCAAACCCCCCGCCAGAGAGCCGAGATAGAAGCGTGTAGTGAAACTGAAACCCGTTAGTTACCTTGTTTTCTGGTTACCATTAGCGACGAATGAACTGTGACTGGATGCAAATGATCGGCCTGAAGCTCCGTCCGATTCCTAGATTGCCCCGTGATGGGGTGTCACTATAGCGGCAGCAAGATACAGCCTCCCGCAGCCTCTCATGGCGGCAATAATTCGGTGGTCAGACAGTTTCTATTGGCCGTTGCAAAGGCAGCAGCATTTCACAACCGAAATCAGCGCCAGAGCCGGGGATACCGCTTGGCAGGGAAACTTGAGCTGCGCCATGACAGAATCAAATGCCTCAGAGCCGGATCTTTAGGAGCATCCAGTGGCAGTCCCATACTCTTACCAACATCCGTCTTCTCTCCTCAAATCCTCGACACCTCGTCATTCAAGTCTGCACCAGACTCCTCTTACACCTTTCCACTCCTTCGCTGGTGGTTGGTGTTGTCAGCTGGGGACTTTCGTTTCCTCTTCGGCTCTCTTCTCCTATGGATCGTTCGTTGTATCAGTAGCTCTCCAGGGTTGTCATCATGTATCGTTGCACGGCGGGTAAGCTCTCTCTGAGAGCCGTTCACGCCTCGAGGTTCTTGCACACCTCGTCCAAATCACAGATCGCTTCGGCAAGCCGTCAGAATGCTCTCGTCGCAGGTCGGAAACCGTTGGCCGTGGTGGCTTGTAGCTCTATGCAGCGCAGAAGCTATGCCATTGCGGCCGGCGAATTCAACAAAGGCGTAGTATGTTGAGCGTGGAATTTGTTGCGCTTCACTCACTGACCACTTCAGGACCCGAACGACTCGTTCCTCTCAGGCAATGCGGCAAACTACATTGACGAGATGTACCTAGCCTGGAAACAAGATCCTTCCTCCGTTCACGTCTCATGGCAAGCTTACTTCCACAACATGGAAGAAGGCAACATGCCCGTGTCTCGAGCCTTCCAGCCTCCGCCAGGCTTGATCTCCCAAGCCGAGGGCGCAGCTGGTATCGCCCCCAGCGCCTTTCCCGCCGGCGACGTCGACGTCACGAACCATCTCAAAGTCCAACTGCTCGTCCGCGCTTACCAGGCTACTGGCCACCACAAAGCAAAGACTGATCCTCTTGGAATCCGTGGAGAGGCGGAGGCATTTGGATACCGCAGACCCAAGGAACTCGAACTGGACCACTACGGTTTCACGGAAGCTGATCTCGATCAAGAGTTCACCCTCGGGCCTGGTATCTTGCCCAGATTCGCCACGGAGACGCGCAAAAAGATGAAACTCCGCGATATTATCGCTGCTTGTGAAAAGATTTACTGCGGTTCCTACGGCGTCGAATATATCCACATCCCGCATCGAGAGCAGTGTGACTGGATCAGAAACAGAATCGAAGTCCCAACGCCCTACAAGTATTCCGTGGATGACAAGCGTCGTATTTTGGACCGGTTAATTTGGAGCTCCAGTTTCGAGAGCTTCCTGGCCACCAAGTACCCCAACGACAAACGTTTTGGTTTGGAAGGTTGCGAATCGCTGGTGCCGGGTATGAAAGCCATGATTGACCGCAGCGTCGACTACGGCATCAAGGATATTGTGATTGGTATGCCGCACAGAGGACGGCTGAACGTGTTGAGCAACGTCGTTCGCAAGCCCAATGAGTCGATTTTTAGTGAATTTTCCGGCACGGCAGAAGCGGGTGACGAAGGCTCGGGTGATGTGAAATATCATCTCGGAATGAACTTTGAACGTCCAACCCCGTCCGGCAAGCGCGTCCAATTGTCGCTGGTCGCAAATCCGTCCCATCTGGAAGCCGAAGATCCCGTTGTGCTTGGCAAGACTCGTGCCATTCAACATTACAACAATGATGAGAAGAAGCACCAGACCGCCATGGGTGTTTTGCTGCACGGTGACGCTGCCTTTGCTGCGCAGGGTGTTGTATACGAGACCCTGGGTTTGCACGCCCTGCCCGCATACTCCACGGGCGGCACCATTCACATTATCGTGAACAACCAGATTGGTTTCACGACCGACCCTAGATTCGCTCGGTCGACACCTTACTGTTCCGATATTGCCAAGGCCATTGACGCCCCTGTTTTCCATGTTAACGGTGACGACGTGGAAGCGGTAAACTTTGTTTGCCAGCTTGCCGCTGACTGGAGAGCCGATTTCAAAAAGGACTGTGTCATCGACATTGTCTGCTATCGTAAGCAGGGTCACAACGAAACCGATCAACCGTCCTTCACCCAACCTTTGATGTACAAGCGAATCTCGCAGCAAAAGCCCCAACTGGACAAGTATGTTGAAAGACTGCTGGAGGAGGGCACCTTTGCCAAGGAGGACATCGAGGAGCACAAGAAATGGGTATGGGGAATGCTGAACGACAGTTTCGACCGAAGCAAAGACTACCAGCCCACCGGAAGGGAGTGGTTGACGTCCGCATGGAATGGATTCAAGACGCCCAAGGAACTGGCAACCGAGGTGCTCCCGCATCCACCAACTGGCGTGGACCGTGATGTGTTGAGCTTGATCGGAGACAAGATCAGCTCGGCGCCCGAGGGCTTCCATGTCCACCGAAATCTTAAGCGTATTCTTGGTGGCAGAAAGAAGGCTATTGATGACGGCACGGGTATTGATTGGGCCACTGCTGAAGCTCTGGCTTTTGGTACTCTGTGTCTCGAGGGCCATCACGTCCGAGTTTCGGGTCAGGATGTTGAGCGTGGCACATTCTCTCAGCGCCATGCCGTCTTGCATGACCAGGAGAACGAGGAAACTTATACTCCGCTCAACAACCTGTCCAAAGACCAGGGAGCTTTCACCATTTCCAACTCTTCCCTGAGCGAGTTCGGCGTTCTCGGTTTTGAATACGGTTACTCACTGTCGTCTCCGAATGCGCTTGTCATGTGGGAAGCGCAATTCGGTGACTTTGCCAACAATGCCCAATGTATCATTGATCAGTTCATCGCCTCGGGCGAAGTGAAATGGTTGCAGAGATCAGGTCTGGTGATGTCGCTGCCTCACGGTTACGATGGCCAAGGCCCTGAGCACTCTTCAGGACGTATTGAACGGTATCTTCAGCTTTGCAACGAGGAACCTCGTGTTTTCCCATCGCCAGACAAGCTCGAGAGACAGCACCAAGACTGCAACATGCAGGTCGCATACATGACCACTCCTGCCAACTACTTCCACATTCTCCGCCGACAGATGAACAGACAATTCCGAAAACGTAAGTGTATCCTGTCCTTACCTTTGATATCTAACTGACATTGTCACAGCTCTTATTGTCTTCTTCTCGAAATCTCTGCTGCGTCACCCGCTGGCCCGTTCCGACATTGACGACTTTATCGGAGATTCGCACTTCCAATGGATCATTCCTGAGACTGAACATGGCAAGTCCATTAACGACCCCGATGAGATCGACCGTATCATCTTGTGTACGGGTCAGGTGTATGCCGCGCTTCACAAACATCGTGCCGACAAAGGCATCAAGAACGCTGCCATTACCCGTATCGAGCAGCTTAATCCGTTCCCATGGGCACTGTTGAAGGAGAACTTGGACACCTACAAGAACGCCAAGACCATTGTGTGGTGTCAGGAAGAACCCTTGAACGCCGGTGCCTGGAGCTTCGTCCAGCCCCGCATTGAGACGCTTCTGAACGAGACGCAATACCACAACAGACGACACGTGATGTACGCAGGACGTGATCCTTCGGCGTCGGTTGCCACTGGATTGAAGGCCACTCATGTCAAGGAGGAGCAGACCCTCCTGGAGGATGCTTTCAGAGTCAAGCAGGACAAATTGAAGGGTGAGTGACTGGCCGATGGTGTGACAGGTGCGAAGGTGGTGGGTGAATGAACGACCGAGGTTCGACTGGTACTATGACTGCGCTCGTCGTGCCTGGGTGAGAGCTGATGAGCTAGCCACGTTGATACTCCCTGGTGGGCATCACATCGAACCGGGAAAGCAAGAGAATAGGCTGAGAGCGTGCTATCGCTGGATTTGTGCTTTGCCAGCGATGATTGCGCATGTGCTTGGATTGAGATCCCATTATTTATTAGTAGCATCAATGAGAGCAAAATGTATTCTTGACAGCAACAGCCGTATTACGCTCGACGGGCCCGCACTGTGTGCAATGACAGTTTTTCCATTGCGCCGCCCATGTCTTCCTTCGTGGCATCAAGCTAGCTACCGCTCATATTATGCCTCGCGATACCCTCAACACACTCCTGTGTTGAGGGGCTTGGGAGCCATTCACATGCCACGGAAAGAAAATCGGGCTTCATATCTAGGATGGAAAAGCCGAGCGCCTACTGACGGGCCCTTGCCACATACATATGTATGTACTATAAAGGCCCATTTCCTCTCCAGCACGTCAATTGGGGTTCATGTCGGGAGAACGAAGAAGTCAAGCGCCAACTAATCGGGCCGTCCAATATGCATAAGGTAGGTACTACTGGATCAGTCTCTCCCAGGGGGAAGGACGCGCACCAGGTCTCCCGTCTACCTTCAAGGTAATCTTCAGAAAACCAGTCGCCAGGCTTCTTGTCCAGTTCCTACCGTCTGATCGCCCACGGGAGGACGATGCGCGAATCGCTGCAGCGTCCCTGAGGTTGGATGCCGATGAATCTGATCGATCCAGGATCTAATCCACAGAGACATACACTGAGAGTCTGGGACCATATGGGTGCAATCGCCACCACCTACCTGAAGTGAGACAACAAGGGTTGGGGTTTGAACTGGATGCGAGTGTTTGAAGATACACGTTGAGGAGTGCACTGTATGGCTGTTCCAGCCACCCCGCAAAATCTCTCAGCCACCACCACCACTACTAAAGATCATCGTAAGGGGAGTTTCGGCTCCCATCCCATACCTTGCGAGACGCTCGCTTTGCCGCTCATCACTGGGTAAATACTACCAAAGGAAACATGGACTTTCAGACAGGACACGCATTCTGCTATATCGGTCGTGATTGGGCCGTTCCAGGAGGCTGAAAGCAGCGGACCAATCACATTCACCGTCGGCCTCGTAGCCTGACCGCATGGAAACAATTATGCGACACTCCTGACGAGGCTGCGTCCCGAGACAAGTGTCAGCCTTGTCCGTGTTTTCATCTGCCACTGCATTTGTTTCATACCACGACCAACTGCAGCAGGTATGTTCACTTCCCAACCATAAGATACAAGTGCGTGTTTTGTTCTCCGAGACAAGCGTGGCTCAGCGTGTGATTGATTCAATTACCCCCGGCAAGGCGCACTGCAATCTGGAACAACTGGTTGCAGATCCAGATCCAGACTGGCAGAGCGTGGCTAGCTGATCGAGTAATTGCGTCTATTCCACTCCAGCGGCAAGGCAAGGCACACTCTATTCTGGAACAATTCGTTGCCTAATTGAAATTGAGATCAGGACTGACTGGGTACCATTGTACCAAGAAACCATGTCAGGAGAAGGGAACTAGGTAGGACTACCAGGTAATGTCCTACTACATCCTGATATATATCGTGCGCCTACCTCCACGGTCGGCAAGTATTTGCTATTCTAGACTTCTGCCTTTTCTCAACCACGGTATCTGTTCGTTGCTTCGATTCTTTCCGGTATTTGTTCATTCTTCAAGGCTCCCTCCCTTCTGCAAAAGCAAGCATTGATACCCTCTTCTGCTTCTTCTTCTTCCTCTCAAAATTACTTCTTGATCGTCACCCCTTCGACTGCTGGATCAGTCAAATTGCAAACATACACCAAGCAAGTTGCTTTTCTTCCTTCCAACTTCAGGTTTTACACTTTGATTCGTCCCCCACAATGCCTTCAAAACCGTGGACACTTATCTTCGTCCTTTTAAACTGTAAGTCACTCTTTATTCAAAGCGGTCTTTCTGTCCTGACTGACTGACATCCGTTTCTTCTCCTCAGTGGCGCTATGCAACTTGGCCCAAGGGGCGGGAACCCAATTCATCACGGGGGCATGCACCAGTGACGCCGACTGCGCATCTGGATGCTGTGGCTTCAACAGCGGCAAATGTGCGGGTCCGGTGGTTGCGCAGGAACGTGATGGCGGATGTGGCTTTGGAGACGCGCAACCCAACGACAACGCTGCGCAAGCTTTGACTGGCGGCGGCAGTGGTGCTGGTCAAACTGCAGCATCAACAGCAGCAGCAGCCGTTCAAAGCGGCTCCAGCTCCAGCTCCGGCATCGACAGCAACGCTCCCGGAGCTGCCAACGTGGGAACCAGCTCCGGAACCCAGTTCATCACAGGCCAATGCTTAAGCGACGCAGACTGCGCTTCCGGATGCTGTGGGTTCAACAGCGGCAAATGTGCCGGCGCCATTATTGCCCAGACGCGCGATGGAGGCTGTGGCTTTGGCGACGCACAACCAAATGATAATGCTGCACAGGCCCTTACTGGTGGTGCGGCGACAGCAACGTCGACAGCAGCCGCCGACGCTGGTACTGGGTCTGGAAGTGGCAGTGATAGTGGAAGTGGTGCTTTTGCAACCGTCACAGCAGCCGCTTCAACCGCCTCAATCAACAGTGCCGCTCCCGGTGCAGCCAATGTCGGCACCGGCAGCGGGACACAATTCATCACGGGCCAATGTCTCAGTGATGCCGACTGCGCTTCCGGCTGTTGTGGGTTCAACTCGGGCAAATGTGCGGGTGCCATCATTGCCCAGACTAGGGACGGCGGCTGTGGTTTCGGTGATGCTCAGCCGAATGATAATGCGGCACAGGCTTTGACGGGAAGTGCGCAGAGGAGGAGTCTGAAGAGGGCTGTCAATGTGCAAGAGTTCATGGCATGATAGACTCAAGCCCTTCACACACACGGGGGCCCTTTTTGCTTTTAGGCGGCGACATTGGCGGGCGTTCTATCTTACCTTCGATTCGGTTGGATTGGATTTCGCGACCGGGGCTGCTGAGCGGGACTAGCAGGAGCATGAGCTTAGAAAACCCGGACATAGAAACAATTCGGTGTGTTGAACCGGCAGAACAAACCGAACCTTCGACGGCCAAAATATAGCAGCTGGAGTATCTTTATCGGTAACGGACGGGAAACAATTCACCTTCCCTAGTGATTGAGGTATGCCACTTATATGTCTTCTGCAACTCTCTAGGATTCTTACCTACTTATCAATGTCCCTGCCTCCGTACATGGGACGTGTCGACCGCAACGAACTAGTAATAGTAAAACGGGGGAACGAACGTGCGGTGGTATCCCAAGTAGAATATTGAGGGCTCGACTTCCGAGAGTTTCGTCCCACCTGCAGAAAGACGTATCAGGCAGATATATATGTATGTATGCATGTTTACTCATTCATATTGTCTTAGTCTAGCATAGTAGAACACCGTGACACAGTCGATCAAACAACATATACTTGCAGACATCCGCAGTGTTTGATACAGACACATATTCTAGCCTCTAAGCTAACTGTCTAACTGATCTAACTCAATCGGCAGTGGCATACGGACTCCTCTCCCTCAAGCGCCGCCCATACTTCCAAAACAGCAAAGGGGCAGGCGTCAGCAGCACAGCAATACATCCCAACCAAGTCATTGTCCAATGCACGCCGATGGCATTATACATGGGCCTGGCGGCGAGGACCATGCCACCCGAGATAAAATAGCGGGCCATGGTGATGCTGGCGAGTGCGACGGCCGAATGCTCGCCGTAGCTGTCGATGATATACTCGTAAGTGGCGACGTACATGGCGGTAATGACAATACCGAAAGCAAAACAGGCGCCCAAGCCAGACCAGATGGAGATCGACGGGTAATTCGTCCAACCGAGCCAGAACAGGACGATGGGCAACAAGGGCGCCGTTGTGATGGCGGGCCAGAGTCGTGACTCCGGGTCGACTGGGGTACGGGGCTTGTGGTTCGTTCTTTGTCGTGCCCGACTGTACATTCCTGGAGCGCACAGCGTGAAAACAGTCGATCCGACTGCGATGGCCGCAAAACATGAGCCTTCCAATCCATCTGAGATTCCCTATCTTTTTTTGAAAATGTACTCGAAACCCGAGAGGAAGGAGTACATGAGGATGTACAACAGGACCAGGAACGCGCCTAGCACGACGATGACGGGTTCGGTGGTGCAGAATGTCACTGACATCGGGAGGACCTGTTTGACTCTTTTTGCAAGGGACGGTATTTCGGCGTGTTTGGACTGGTATCGATCGTCGCCGGTCACGCGTCGGAGATGTTTGGCTTTCCAGTCAAGCAGCACTGGAAGATATGTTTCTGGCAAGAACAAAAATGCCACGATGAATGCTGCCGCCGAGATGATTAGTGTGATCCATTCGCACCATCGCCAGCCTAGTTTTGGGTCCGAGGTTATCCATCCGCCTGCCACGGGTGCCATCATGGGAGCTACAGAACATGAAATGTCAGCAGATGCCCAAAAGACTCATGACGTTTGGTTAATGAACACTATGCGCATAAGGTTAAGGCGAGATGTCTGCTTGACCTACCAGCAACATTGGCCCATGCGATGACCGGAAACACAAACGATCGCTTCACCGCCCGGAACTGGTCTCCCACACTGGCGCCGTTGATGCCCAAGGTGGCGCTGGCGAACAACCCCACAAAGTATCGACATACCACCTGTCCTCCAAATTTGTGCACGAGTGCCGAGCCGAGCACGAAGAACATGTAGCAGAGTGACGATACCAGGTACGTCGGGTTCCGCCCAACCGTTTCCGAAAGTGGTCCGACAATGAGACATCCAGAACCAATACCAAACAAATACATTGACTGCGAGAGGTTCTCGGCCACGGCGCTGACGTGGAACTCTTTGCTAATGGACTCGTTGGCCATCGAGTCCGCGGCGCCGGCCCAACCTTGTGCGAAGATGAGGAACGAGAGGACCGCAATATTGATGGACCGTGAGCGAAGAGACCAGTTGCATGGGTCGAGGGGGTCCGACTCCCCTTCTAACTCGACCAGGATTTTTTCATTGTCATTGTCACTCCTTGATCCATCGGCTGTCGAGGACTTCTCGGATACACGATCCCCTTGGTTAGAACCTTGATGTTCTTTTTCCCCTATCGGAGTCTGATCTGAAGAGTGGTCGAAACGTTCGGTGCTCGTACGAGAGTCTGAGACTGACCTCAAAGTCGAAGGAGAGGAAGCCGTTCGAGGCGATTTGACGCGATTTCCGGCTTCGACGTCGACATTGGCATCGGCATCTTCCGCAAACTCCTTTCCGTTGTGACGCCTGTTCCAATCTCGCTCGACTTGTTTGCCCAGTCGACGATACTGGACCGCCGACCACATTGAACAGAAAGAAAGAGAGGTTTCGTCCTCGCACACTGCTCAGCTTTGCAAAGATGTAGTCCTTTCCTAGCACGTATTGTCCACTAGGGTCTCGGTTGGGTCTCGAAGCAATAATGGATATAATCTTGTCTGTATTTGCAAAAGACCCGGACTGGCACTCAACGTTCACGCTCCCAGTATCTGCTGCCGAAGGTCCTTGTCAAGTTTAATGGAGTTGGTAATGGATGCAAAGATTTCTCGTAAATGTATCAACAAAAAGATGTAAACATGAAGTCAAAAACAAAATGTTCGGCCTTCAGAGCCATCTGCGAAAGAGAGACAAGACCAGGGACCCCTGTGAGATATGGGTGTACCTGTTCTGGAACTGGCGTCGCCATATCAGGTACTTTGGTACAAAATACCTTGTGGATGTGATGCAATGGCAAGCCACGAATGCCGTCGAACTGACAACGCCGTCCAGTAGAAACCGGCAAAGGTACAGTACGTAGACGACGGCTGGTGCACAGGTGGGTCAATCGCATCAGAAATGATGCCCGCCACGGCATCAGTTCAGGCGAAGATCCGCATCCAGCTGGCAGCCCGTATTTCGCACAATCGCATCCTTATTTCGCATAAAAACTAAACTTATTTCAGCGATTTTTAGTCTACTTCCATTTAGTGCCTATAGCGCCGTATATCTCGTAAGTCAATACATCCTATATTATTGCCCACCCGCCTATTGCGGTACGGCTCTGCGCCTGCAACGCCTGTAACGCCTATAACAGCACACCTATAATTGCACGCCTACACCTATACGCCTACACCTACACGCCTATACCTACACGCCTACACCTATATGCCTACACCTACACGCCTACACCTACACGCCTACACCTACACGCCTACACCTACCCGCCTACACCTACACGCCTACACCTACACGCCTACACCTACACGTCTATAACTACGCGCCTATAACTATACGCTTATAACTGCACACCTATACCTATGTACCTATAGAAGTGCGTAGCTATAGGCGTATAGCTGTAGGCGCGCACTACAGTTATAGGTACGTAGTGGTAAGCGGTGTAGGTATATAGTTATAGGCGTTGTAGGTGTACAGTTATAGGCGTAATCGGGGGTGCTGTACAGTATTGTAGGTATATACCTTACGGCGCCACTACCATGTTGGACTACGGTAGACCTACGGTAGAAATATTACTACGGTAGAAATACGGTAGATAACTACCTTACGGCGCC